ATTTATACCCTACTCAGGAGAAAATAAAGTGGTTCAGCCACTTTGGAAAACAGTTTGGCAATTTCTTAAAAAGTGAAACCTAAATTTAGCACACGACCAGAAATTCCACTCATCGGTATGTACCTGAGAGGAATGAAAACAAATGTCCACACAAATACTAGTTAATGTTCATAACAACGTTATTCCTAATAACCAAAAAGGGAAAACAACCCAAATGTTTATCAGGTGATGAATGAATACAACGGAATACTCTCCCACAATAAAAAGAATAAAATATGGATACATGCTACAACATGGAGGAACCTCAAAAGCATTGTGCTTCATGGAGGAAGACAGACACTATAGATTACATGCTGTATGCTCCATTTATGTGAAATGTCCAGAAAAAGGCAGATTTATAAAGACAGACAGCAGATCAGTGGTTGCTTGGTCGGGAGTGTTAGTGAGGATTACTATGCACAGTTTTGAGGGACGTGTTGGGGGTGATAGAAACATTCTAAAACTGGATTATGGTGATGGCTGCACAACTTTTATATATAAGTTTACTGAAAAAGTATTGAATTGTACACTTACCAAACACACACACACACACACACACACACACACACACACACACACAAAGTAGATGAAGGAGGGGGCGCTTTGAACCATTTTGGGGACACTTTTAAGATGAGTGAAATCTGGAACCTAATAAGAAATATGCAACAAAAGCATTTGTAGTCTCTTGGCTTTTCAAATTGATAACCAGATTTATCCTCAACATAATATCATCCTGACGGTACCTATGTCAAAGGATGAATTTAAAATGGTCATATCTTTGAAAGGCACAATATGAAAGGAAATTGAGTCACTGTTACATAGCCTCAAACAAAAACAGCAGAAGAGGAGGGCCTTGTGTTTGGTTTTTATGTTCCTATGCCGCCACCTCGTGATCATTTATAAAATGGCACCACTCGATTTGCTTCTTTTTAAACCTTGGATTTGTTGAGCCATGTCTGTATACCACAAATATCTCAATGCTTGGCTGTGTGTAGGTTAAATATCTGAATGGATCGCTGAATAATTTATGCTTCCAAAAAATACTGTAGTGACAAAAACTGGACTGGGAATCTCAAAAAATACCTTCCAGCCCCTGATCTGCTTGGTGTCAGCTTTGTGACTTTGAGCCCGAACAAGATTAATCTGTGAGCCCTAAGTGGCCCCAAAGTTCAAGCAGAGGCTCTCTGTAAGATAGCCGTTAGGAGCACGGCACTGGGGTAAGTTCCTAACTACTCTGAACTTTGGTCTTCTACTCTATAAAAGACCATCCACTGCCAAGGTCGGTGTGAGAACCAAGTGTGTAAATGTATGTAAAAACACTTATTTCAGAATACACTTCAGAAAACAGTAGGCTGCAATGGTTGCCACCAGTAATCATGTGCCTCCTGGGCAAAAATCTGACATTTCGAAGTAGTTACTTCTTCCCACCCCACCCCCAAAACAATTAAGCAAAAACCCTGAAAGACAGAAGTTCAGAAAATAAAATATGCTTTCTGCCCGTGGACGCCGCAGAGTAAGCATCGTTAAAGTCTCCCCTCCCACCGCCGTCACGTCTAAGTCAGAGTCTCCCAAAGAGCCTGAACAGCTGCGGAAGCTCTTCATCGGAGGTTTGAGCTTTGAAACAACCGATGAGTCTGAGGAGCCATTTTGAGCAATGGGGAACGCTTACGGACTGTGTGGTAATGAGAGATCCAAACACCAAGCGCTCCAGAGGCTTTGGGTTTGTCAGGTATGCCACTGTGGAGGAGGTGGATGCAGCCATGAACGCAAGGCCGCACAAGGTGGATGGGAGCGTTGTGGAACCAAAGAGGGCTGTCTCAAGAGAAGATTCTCAAAGACCTGGTGCCCACTTAACTGTGAAAAAGATTTTTGTTGGTGGCATTAAAGAAGACACTGAAGAACATCATCTAAGAGATTATTTTGAACAGTATGGGAAAATTGAAGTGATCGAGATCATGACTGACCGAGGCAGTGGCAAAAAGAGAAGTTTTTGCTTTTGTAACATTTGATGACCATGACTCTGTAGACAAGATTGTCATTCAAAAACACCATACTGTGAATGGCCACAACTGTGAAGTAAGGAAAACCCTATCTAAGCAAGAGATGGCTAGTGCTTCATCCAGCCAGAGGTTGAAGTGGTTCTGGAAACTTTGGTGGTGGTCGTGGAGGTGGTTTTGGTGGAATGACAACTTTGGTCGTGGAGGGAACTTCAGTGGTCGAGGTGGCTTTGGTGGCAGTCGAGGTGGTGGTGGACATGGTGCCAGTGGGGATGGCTATAACGGATTTGGTAATGATGGAAGCAACTTTGGAGGTGGCGGAAGCTATAATGATTTTGGCAATTACAACAATCAATCCTCAAATTTTGGACCCATGAAAGGAAGAAATTTTGGAGAGAGAAGCTCTGGCCCCTATGGTGGTGGAGGCCAATACTTTGCCAAACCACGAAACCAAGGTGGCTATGGTGGTTCCAGCAGCAGCAGTAGCTATGGCAGTGGCAGGTTTTAATTACGGCCAGGAAACAAAGCTTTAGCAGGAGAGGAGAGCCAGAGAGGTGACAGGGAAGCTACAGGTTACAACAGATTTGTGAACTCAGCCAAGGACAGCTTTGTAGCCTAGCTGCTACAAAGAAGACATGTTTTAGACAATACTCATGTGTATGGGCAAAAAATTCGAGGATTGTATTTGTGACTAATTGTATAACAGGTTATTTTAGTGTCTGTTCTGTGGAAAGTGTAAAGCATTCCAACAAAGGGTTTTAATGTAGATTTTTTTTTTGCACCCATGCTGTTGATTGCTAAATGTAATAGTCTGATCATGACGCTGAATAAATGTGTCTTAAAAAAAAAAAACAAAATATATTTCTTAGAATTATCAGCCAATTGGAAAAACACATTTGAATAATTTATTTAAATACTGAGTAAAGCCAAAGGCTTCACAGAAGCTGGAATTTTACAAATAACTTGGAATCACTGATTTTTTTTTAAAGATTTTATTTATTTATTTGAGAGGGAGACAGAGACAGAGCATGAGTAGGGGGAGGGGCAGAGGGAGAGGGAGAAGTAGACTCCCCACCCGATAGGGAGCCTGGGATCATGAACCGAGCCAAAGGCAGACGCATAACTGACTGAGCCACCCAGGCGCCCCTCAATGATTATTTCTAAACAATACAGACTGACAAGGATGTCAAGGGGTGACTGCTGTAGCCGATCCTCTCACTGCCAGTATCTTACAGGTGCCTGGCATGCTCAACATATGCCAACCAGCACAATGCTGACCAGAGGAAACAGAATTCTTTCATTTCCCCAAGAATTCAAATGAGTGTTTACATCACTTGAGATTTTATTCCATAGGTCAGAGAACCAGGCTGCATAAGGAGCCACACTATCTGAAGCTAAAGAGTGTCTACCATTTTACTCCTTCACCCACTCTATTTCCTTGGGATGTCAAAATATCGAGATGATCTCAGCTTTTATTTTCCAGGCAGATGTTCTGGCATGACTCATATATTAAGTTTTTTGTTTGTTTTTAACAGCTTTATTGAGGGATTATTTAGATAGTACATAGAATTCCCTAACATACACAGTTGCCCGAGTGTTGGTAACTGCATACAGTTATATAGCCATTACCACAATTCAGTTTTAGAACAATTCTATCATATACTTTACATTTGACCAGCCCCATAGGTAAAGAATTTACTGGATCTTTAACCTGTGGATTTAAACCATCTAGCTCTAGAACCTCGCCTAGGCATGCCTTTTGAATAAATCAAGCTTTAAAGGGAGACAAAGTAAAACTCTCAACTTTACTCCAAATAGAGGTCAATGAAACACATTCTCTCCAGGGGTCTGCAGGCTAATTAGAATATAAATTAAACAAATAAGTTAAGAATAAAAGTTAACACACATGCACTAATGTATATTTTGAAAAGCGTATATTATATAATTCATTACAGTTTATGCCAATATTATGGCCACCTTTCACCCAAGGACCAACTTATTTGTTTTCTCACTCTTATAGATATGGTTAGGTGGGATAAACTGCCTGGAGCCTGAACATTTTGATCTGGCATATCCCAAGTTAATGGAAGAAATATTCCCCCTTTCTGTAATTTGGCTGTGCACACTTAACGTGGGGTTGGAACTGAAACACTGCCTTAGATGCTGCAGAGGAAGAGCTTCTTCTTCAGTGGGATATTTCAGAGGCCCTTTTGATTTTGTCTTGTTTCAAAGAGGTTATTTATTCAAGAAATAATTAAATTACCATGCTCCTCATCCTGCAGATCCAGTACTCACGGTCTACTTCTCCCTATACAGCACCTAGTAGATATGTACACAAAAACCTCTCAATGAAAGAATTATAATCTGGGTATAATGAAAATTTCTCTATTTATTTATTTGCTTTTCGTTCCTGCCTTATCTCTAAATTTGTCTATAGGTGTTTCAGAGAGGTAGTTATGTGTAAACTACTTCTACTTTGGTTCCAAACACACCTTTATCTAGCCTTACGGCGTTTACTAACTCCACTCATCTTGACATTTAAATACTATTTTACTTTGTTATTTAAGTGTTCGATATGTGCTAACTCAGCCTCCTTCATATACTAAGATCCTTGTGGTTAGAATAATTATTTCAAACTTTGTGCATGAATAAACAAATTCTGTATTTCTTGAGCACCTTGTTCACAATGGGCACACAAAAAGCTATTTAATAAGTACTTGTTTAATTAATCATGATCCCTCAGGTTTGTCTCCCCTCAGGTTTGTTCACTGCCTCCCATCCCCCCTCCACTTACATTTATCATATAACCCAGATTTCCTAGACATTACAGATTTTCTGTCCCACTGTCCATAAGAACAGTGGCATGTGCCACACCATATGTCCGGGCATATGGTCCTCAATTACTGTAATATGAATCCATCTCTGTTGCATTACGTCTCTGATTTCTAGTCCTCCCTAATCAGAGCTAATAGCTCTGATTACCATTTCAAATACAGTTCCCTTTCTTTTCTTTAACTTGAGCCTCGATTTTTAACACTACAAAAGCATACTAATAGGACAAGTTTGTATACAAAATATACAGAGTACCTTTCATCAAAGGTTATCTATTTCTTCCCTGCTGTTTCCACTTTGACTCGTACCACTCAGGGTTCCTGCACTAAGAGGGCCTAGAGAACATTCAGTACACACAGGAAGCAGCTGCGCAGTCCCCCGGGCACCTGTCGGTGGATCGCCCACTCACTCATTCTGTGACCTTGGTTGAGTCGCTCAAATTTCTATGAACCTCGGAGTCTTCCTTATAATGCTGCCCATCTCACCAGGCTGTCGAGACAAGAGAGACGTGGATGTGTGCGCACTCTGTGAAATCTAAAGCGCAATGCAAACTTAATGGATCGCTGGGAGGGGTGGGAGGGGGTGGTTCCCTGCAGAGCTCTTCGTGCCTGCTCTCCCCCAGACTCTTCGTTTCACCGCGCAACTTGGAGGGACGCGCCCAGGAGCCCGCACACCACCGCGCCCCAGCCCTGCCAGTTCACGGGCAGCAGCTTCTCCCGACCTCGCCTCCGCAGGGATCGTGCCCCAGGCCCCGGCTCGGGGACGACCGCGAGGCTCCGGGCGCCGTCTGCCGCGGGGAGAAAGGAGCCTTCCTTGCAGAGCTCCCCTCTGCAGTTGTGAGGCGCGCTCCCTCTAGAGCCGCCTCTGGGTCTCAATTATAAGCTGCGGTCGCCCCCGGCCTCAGCCTCACCCCTTCCTCTCCCCGCAGCAGCCGAGCGAAGCCCCTCCCCCGGAAAGCCCGTCGCCGGGAACGCCCAGCCCCCCTCCAAAAGGCCCTGCCAGCTTCAGCCACGCCCCGCTACTTAAACTCAGGGCGCCCGCCAAGGTGGCGGGTTAGGGCCCCGCGCGGTGAATTATGGGGGTTGAGCCTGCAGAAGGTGGATGCTGATTGACTCCTGAGCGAGGAGGGCGGAGTAAAAGGCGGAAGCGGGCGTTGGGGGCGGGCTCGGTGCAATTGCAGACTGGAGCGCCCATGGAAGCGGTTAGGTGCTCCGAGCACGGTAAGGGGTCCGGGTGTTTTAGGGGCTCCCGGGGTTTGTCAGTGTAGTTTGGCTGTAATCATTGTCAACCTCCTGTCTTCAGGGATCGTGTGTTTTCTCAAGACCGGCGTCCGCGATGGCCCGAATAAAGGAAAGAGCTTCTACGTGTGCCCGGCTAACACCTGCAGCTTCGTGCTGGCAGCCGAGTAAGTCTCGAGATGGGCTATGACTGCCTGCCACCGCCAGCTCCCCTCCGCCCGGCGCCACTGGCACTAGGAGAGGTGGGGACCCTGGTGTGTGCAGCCGGGGCCTTTAAGTAGTTGGTGATCCCAGGGCAGCGTGGCGTGTTCAGGAGGCGCTCCGTTCCTGCTTTTGCCGTTTGGCTCTGGGCAGCTTACTCACCCTCTCTGGGCCTCCATTTCGCCCACCTGTAAAGTGGAGGGTCAACTACAACCGGAACCTTCTGGTCCTTTCCAGCTCTGGGTTTCTTCTTGCTTGCCAGCTCTTCTGCTAGGACATTGCCTCTCCTTGCTAAGTGAGGACATGCAGACATAGTAGAAAATAATTAGCCCCTGTTTTGCACTAGTTTCAGGCCGAACTTATTTTTAAATGTTTGAGGTTAAAACTCGCTGGTGGTCAGATTATCAACTCCTTTTAAAAAGAGGATTCTCGGGCGCCTGGGTGGCTCAGTTGGTTAAGCAACTGCCTTCGGCTCAGGTCATGATCCTGGAGTCCCGGGATCGAGTCCCGCATCGGGCTCCCTGCTCTGCGGGGAGTCTGCTTCTCCCTCTGACCCTCTTCCCTCTCGTGCTCTCTGTCTCTTATTCCCTCTCTCTCAAATAAATAAATAAAATCTTAAAAAAAAAAAAAAAGAGGATTCTCTGGTGGCACCTGAGTAGCTCAGATGGTTAAGCATCTGACTCTTGATTTCCGCTGGGGTCATGATTTTAGGGTCCTGAGATAGAGCCCCGCTTGGGACTGCGCACTGGGTGTAGAGCCTGCTTAAGATTCTCTCTCTCTCTCCCGCTGCCCTACCCCCTTGTGTGTGCGCTCACACGCACACACATATTCTCTCAAAAATAAATAAATAGAATCCATAGTTTGGATTTAATTTTAGAACGTTAATTTCTGTTGTCTCCTAAAACAAAATTTCCTTTTTTTTTTCCCCTCCCCTCTAGTATTCCTGTTTCTCATTGTTTATTGCATGAGGACTGTGTAGTAGGGCTTCAGGGTTTGCTTCTACCACCAGGCAAGGAAGAATATAGGTAAGTGTCCAAAAGGAACATCTACGTGTATTTGCTTCTTTCTTTCCCTGGAAGACTTACAGCCAGATGTGTTTTCCTAGAATTGACTATTCTGTAAAAATGATTTTTAACAAAGAGGATTTCTGTATGTATTGAATGCCTTCTGAGCTGTCACTCCCTCACTGCAGAGCAACTGGTTAATTTGAGAATCTGGTTAATTTCAGGATCAACTGCTCTACCTTCCTCCCTCTCCCGCTCTTCAGTAGCCAGTAATGTCAGCCCACCAGCAGTCATTAACTTGCAGTGATTTGTCAACTTTTCCATTCTTGTAATAAAATGAAGTAATGTCTAAAAATGTCTAAAGTATTTAAGCACTCAATAAATGTTAGTTTCCCTTCTTTTTATATGAAAACTCAGAGGTAAGGCAGGGAAATCTACATAGGTGGCAGGTGATATTTGTCAGGAGTATTCAAAGGTAAGTAGGAATTCACTAGGGGCAAGAAAGGGGTCACATTTAACAGATCAATACCCTGCATTAGGGTACAGAGTTAGGAAGTAACCAGGAATTGCAAGCATTTGGTTTGGTAGTAATTTAGCATGTGTTTGAGTAGAGATTTCAGAAGATAAGGCTGGCCAGGAAGGCAGGGGCCAGGTATGATGGTCGTTATATGATATTCTGTGCAGTTCAGAATGTATATATTCTAGATCAATCCCCCCACCCCCCCGTATTGGCATTTCAGTACCATCTTCACATGTCACTTAAATACCAATTCTGCTGTTTTTCTTAATTGAGTTGTGGATACAGTAAGATGCATAGATTTTAAGTGTTCAGTAGTTGAGTTTGAGAAATTGATATAACCAAGCCTTAGTCAAAATACAGAAATATTTCTCTTAACCCCATTAAGTGCCATTGGACCCCCTTCTACCAAAGGCAACCACTGTTTTGATTCATTCTTTTATGTCTGGCTTCTTCTTTGTAACAATATCTGTGAAATTCATCCATGTGGTTGTATGTATCAGTAATTCTTCATTATTGCTGAGTTGAATTCCATTCTGTGAATATCACAGTCTGTCCTGCTTATTTGTCATCTATATATCTTCTCTGGTGAAGTATCTGTTTAAATCTTTTGCCCATTTTTTTCATTGAAAATTTTATTGAGGTAATTGTAGATTCTCATGCATTTGTAAGAAATGCTACAAAAAGACCCCTGTAGACTTTACCTAATGGTAACATTTTGCAAAGTGTATGTAAATAGTATATATTACAATTAGGATATTGATTCAGTCCACTGATCTTATTTGTGAAGATAGTTTTCCTTGTACTAATTATGTGTGTGTGTGTGTGTGTGTATAGATTTAGTTCTATACAGTCACCATGTGTAGTTTTTTTGTATGTACCTACCACAGTCAAGATATGGGGCAGTTCCTTCACCACTGAATTCCTCTGCCCTGCCTCCCACTCCCTCCACGTCATCTCCGGCAACCAGGAGTCTCATTTGCGTTTCTAAAGTTTGTCATTTCAGAAATGTTATATCAGTGGTATCATAAAGTGTAACTTTGGGGGATTTTTGCCTACTTTAAAAATTGTGTTGTCTTTTTATTATTGAATTCGAAGAGTTCTTTATATATTCCCTATACAAGTTCTTTGGCAAATACATATATAATGAATATTTTCTCCAAGTCTTTGCTTTTCATTTTCTTAACTCCCTTTTGAAAAGTAGAAATTTCTCATTTTTATAAAGTCCAGTTTATCATTTTTTTGTCCTTTGTTCTTTGTGTGTTCTCTCTGAGAAATCTTTGCCTGCCCCAAGATCACAGATTTCTCCAAGGGTTTCTTCTAGAGGTTTTATAGTTGTTTGTTTTCTTAATGGCTTTTCTGTTTAGTCTGTGATCTGCTTCAAATTCATTTTTGGTATCTTATGAGATAGGAGTAGGTCATTTATTTTTCCATATATTACTGAATAGAATATTAGTCAGTTGTCTTAGCACCGTTTTGGAAGACTTTCCTCTCCCCATGGAAATGCTTGGCACTTCGTAAAAAATCAGTGATTACCATGTTATGGATCTTTTTTTTTGAACTTGCCAATTGTTCTTTTGGCCCTTTTGCCTATCCTGACACAATCAGGTAAGATAGTACAAGTCTTCCAACATTCTTCTTTTTCAAGATTGGCTATTCTGGGTCATTTGCATATAAAATGTAGCATCGACTTCTAAATTTCCTTAGAAAAACTTGTTGGTATTACACTGAATCTGTATAGATCCTTTTGGGAAGAACTGACATTAATGTTGATTTTCCAGTCTATGAGCATAGTGTATTTATGGCTTTTTTTTTTCCAGCATTGTTGAATAGTTTTCACTGTAGAGTGAGTACTCTACCCTTTTTGTTAAATTTAGTCCTAAGAGAGTGTTACGGTTTTTGATGCTATTGTAAATGGTATTTTTAAATTGTTCACTTTTTTTTTTAAGATTTTATTTATTTATTCATGAGAGACAGAGAGAGAGAGGCAGAGGGAGAAGCAGGCTTCCCCCCGAGGAGGGAGCCCGATGTGGGACTCAATCCCAGGACCCTGGGATCATGACCTGAGCCGAAGGCAGACGCTTAACCATCTGAGCCACCCAGGCACCCAAATTGTTCACTTTTTTTAAAAAGATTTATTTGTTTATCTGAGAGAGAGAGAGTAGGGGGAGGGGCAGAGAGAGAGAGAGACACTTCAAGCAGACTCCCTGCTGAGCACGGAGCCCCACACGGGGCTCAATCTCATGACCCTGAGATCGTGACCTGAGCCAAAACCACGAGCCAGATGATCAACCAACTGAGCCACGCAGGCGCTCTGAAATTTTCACTTTTTGACTGTTTTTTTTTTTGTTAGTACAGTGAGGCTCGTAAGCCTCTAGAGCGTGAAGTCAGGATGTCCTGACACCTAAAACCATTTATGCGCCGCTGGTGGGGGGCCCTCTACCTTATGGGAAGACTGTTCGGGGTTGTAGGAAGCCACTGAAGAATGTTTGGTCCAGTTTGCATTAATAAAAGAGGAGCTCTGAAGACGGTTGATTGGAAAGGAAGATGGTGGAGGTAAGGAGACTGCTGGTCCAGAAGGTGCCGTTAAATGTCTCGTAAGTGGCGTGGTCAGCATTGCTTACTGCTGTAGTCTCTTCTGTGACAGGAAGACGAGGCAACTAACATTTAGAGAGGTTGGGAAAGGAAGCAGGTCCCAGGGTTGTGCAGTGGCATTGCTGGGATTCAGACCACGGCCTAGCTGATTCGAGATGAATCCACTTTAGTCTCTAAGTGAAAGGTGTGCTTGGATTGAGGCATTGGCAGTGGAGTTGGGTGGACTTAGGCTGTGGAAAACTTGGCTGAAAGAAAATCAGTAAGACACCTTCCTGGTGGGGCATTTAAGCATGTACCTTTCTCCCTCATTTTCCCCTCAGGAATAGTGACCCTGGCAGTCCTGACTTCCCTGGGTTGTGAGGATTTGGTGAGGTCATGGGTCGGATGCACGCGGTCTGGCGTTTGGCTCGCTGTGAGTGCTCAGTAAATGGTTGTTAAGTTGGGATTTATGGGTGATGAGTTTACCATTAAGCAAGACAAGGAAAGAAAGGTAACATATATGGAGGTTTGGGATGTGTGGCCAACACAGACAGCTTTGAACTGATCATGTCTTAGGTATATATGAAACCAGCTAGAGAAGTGAGTGCAGCTCCAAAGAAAGGTCTAGGCTCAAGATGGAATTTTGAGAATTTACCACAAACATTCTTCATACTAGGGAGATGAGGCTGAGAGTTGATCATTATTTTAAAATAGAAAAGTAAGAGCACCTGGTGGCTCAGTCGTTGGGCGTCTGCCTTCGGCTCAGGTCATGATCCCAGGGTCCTGGGGTCGAGTCCCACATTGGGCTCCCTCCTCGGGGGGAAGCCTGCTTCTCCCTCTCCCACTCTCGCTGCTTGTGTTCCTGCTCTCGCTTTGTCTCTCTCTGTCAAATAAATAAGTAAAATCTTTAAAAATAAATAAATAAAAAATAAATAAAATAGAAAAGTAAAGGGGTACCTGGATGGCTCAGTCCATTAAGCGTCCAACTTGATTTTGGCTCAGGTCATGATCTCAGAGTTGTGAGATTGAGCCCTGCGTCGGGCTTTTGGCTAGGTGTGGAGCCTGCTTAAGAGTCTCTGTCTCCCTCCGCCCCCCGCAAAAAGAAATAAAATAGAAAAGTAAAGTATGCAAATGTTTTTCTTTTAGCCCAAGCCTAGAACATCATTACAAGGAGGTACTTACTGGAGGTTTTAAAAGGTTGTTTTAGGACAAATAAAATACAGTTATACAACACACAATAAATAAAAAACAAAAAACAAACAAGTACCCTGACTGGTAGTACAGACTGGAAATTTTAACAGAAGTAGGTACGCCAGTAGACGACTTCCTTAGCAGACAGGGCATTTAGCCAGAACCCCTATACTCTGGAGAATGACCTCAGGGAATATAACCTTTTCTTCTGAAAACTGAACTTAAAGTACTTCACATCTTTGACTTAATTCCAGTATGTTTGAAGCTTAACCCAACTAGGAGACAGGTGCAGCAGAGTAATGGGAAGGAGGTGTAAGCCCCGGTGAGGCTAAGATGCCCATTTTTCATTCCTTGGCGTGTAGGTGCATTTGCATGCAGTTCTCTAACTTAAACGCCAGATGGTGCCACTCACCAGCATTTGACTGACCCTTCAGCCTTGGCCCTCTGTTTAGGGACAGTAAAAGAACAGTCACTCAGTAGAACGAGAGGGAAGAACTCGTGCCCTGACTTGAACGATGTGGCACACACACCTTGGTTTACGTTGTCACTGAGCTTCCTGAGTTCTTGTTTGCTCCCCTCCCGTTTCCCCTCCTCTCCTTTGTCTTTGAACTTCTCAAGGGTAGAGAATCAAAATAGATGGATGTATTCTTTTATCTATAACTAGGTAAAACAAGTTTGAGTTCTTTAAAAAACTGGTTGTTGTGGGATGTTCAAAATATTTTATTTTTAAGGGCGCCTGGGTGGCTCAGTCGGCTAAGCAGCTGCCTTCAGCTCGGGTCATGATCCCAGGGTCCTGGGCTCCTGCCCAGTGGGGAATCTGCTTCACCCTCTCCCTCTGCCCCCCCCCCCACTCCTGCGCTCTCTGCCTTGCTCTGCCCTCTCTCTCAAAGAAATAAAATCTTTTAAAAAAATATTTTTAGTAACATTTGAATCTTTGCATGTCTAGCAGAGTCCTTTGTGTCGTTGGGTACTGGGTAAAATTGGGGTACAGATGATATAGCCCAGTGATGATTTTCTGGGAAGATGATAGACATTTGGGTATAAGCCAGGCCTGTGCAGAAGCACCTCAAGTCCTACCACCCCATGAAGAGCCCCCCTCAATAAAGTTAGTACATCTTGTAGAGTATTTATATTGTAGAGTATCATGCACTGTGCTATGTAATGGAAGGAATCCTTGTTTGTGAAGGGTATTAGCTCTCTGTGTCACAATTACTTTTCCCACTTTGCCTTTTGTCTTATAATTTTGCTAATGATATTTTTGCCATATGGAAGTTTAAACCTTTTTTTTCACGGCCGTAGGGTAGCAGAGAGCCATGTTGCTGCCCCTCAGTGGCTCCCGCAGCTGAACGCTTAAAACTTTTGTGTGGCCGGAATTACTAAATCCTTTACCTCTCAGCTGCAGGGCTTCAGGTCCCACTTAGAAAAGCCTTCTTCACGTTAGGATTAAAAAAAAACATTCATCTCTCTTTTTTTACCCAGAACATTTACAGTTGCATTTTTTACGTTTGTGTTTTCGTTCCATCTTGAATTTTAATATAAGAGAATGAGTTAGAAATCCAGTTTTATGTTTTTCTAGTGCTGGCGCATAGAAACAAGGGAACCTGTATGCCTAAGGGGCTCTGACACCACTGGGGTAAGAGTCAGACCAGGAAGGCTGGTGCCCAGCACTATCTGCATGTAGTAGCATTAAATTGGATGTGTTCAAATGCAGGCGCTTCTGTGATCTAGTAATACCCGCAGTAAGGGGTTAATGCTGGTGCAAGTTACTGAGATAGTGTAGGAGTTGAGACATGAGCTTGGCCTTGAATGACCTTTAACATTTGGATATAGTAAAAGATAAGTACTTGGGCTATAAGCGGAAGTATGGCTATAGGAATAAGCAAGAGGGTCAGAGGGAGTGAACTAATGATTATTATTGCTTAGCAAGTCCTTAATATGGGTCAGGCGTTGGTCTGAACCTTATCTTTACATGTATTAATGCATGTGGTCCTCACAGTGATCTTATGAGATAGGTACTTTTTTTTTTTTTTTGGCCATTTTAGAGAAAAGGAAACTGGCACAGAGACTAGTCAAGTAAGTTATCTGAGGATTCAGAGCTGATTATGTAGTGAGGCTGGGATTCGAACCAACAGAGGATGACTCTGGAGCCCGAGAGACTCCTGGCCTGGCTGAAGTGAACGTGCCTGACAGTGTAAGTCTGGGTTGGACGATCAGCCTTTAGGAAGAAGGGAGGATATGCCTTCTCGTGAAGCATTGAGAGGTCTGGCTTCCTCTAGCTGTGTTCCTCATTATTGTTTATTGCTTACGTCCTGGGAAATAACGAATATACTGCAGAAATTACACTCTTCTTCATAGCAGAATCAGTATTTGATTTCTCTGAGAATATATTTCCATTGCTTTCTTTGCTGATTTGCAATTTAATAAACATAACAAACTTTTTATCCTAAAAACAGAGAGGCCCATCCAGATTGGTTTTAATAAAAATACAAGTACAAGCATTTTTAGCAGCGTGCCTAGAACATAGTACACGCTTAGTAGTTAAATCATACATGTGTTATTTTCTCCCTTCTTGGTCTCCAAGTCCTGCCCTTTTGAAAGTCTGCAGTGGCTTGGGCTTTCAAATAGCATGATTTATTAAATGTTCTTGTCAGTGAAGATTTCAAGTACTTGATACACTTAAAATAACAGCAGAGATTTATTCTTGATTCACTTTGATAAGGAGTGGTACGGCCTATTAGTTGCCAATACTTTGAATTGTTATGCATTCTAAGCATCTCAGAAATTTTATTACATATGTTCAATATGATATCCTATTGCTGTGAGAAAAACTAAAGAGACCAGTAAAAATTTTTTCAGAAAATTGTGAGCTTGAATGGGGAAATTGTGAGTTTGTATGAGAAGGGCTGGTCCTATTTTCTTTTTAGTTTGACTTTTATGGAACACTTGTTCATTTGAGGCTTATCTTTGCTTACGTGTCCAGGTGAGGTAGTGATATAGTGACATGATTTTGAATTGGGACTCAGATTGGTCTTGATTCATGTTGTATATCATGGGACTTAATTTAAGAAGTTAGAAAAGAGCAAGAAATTAAACTGAAAGAAAGGAGAAAGAAAGGATTAATGTTGGTAAAAATGGAATGGAATGAGTTCAATAACAGCAATAAATAAAATCCAGAAGGTAATTGATCAAGAATACAGAGAAGGCCCTAGTATACAGTATGAGAAATAAGCAGTTACTCTTCAGATACATAAAGATTCATTGTGACATTCTTTTTAGTAGCACAGAATTGGAAACAACCAAACTATCTATCAAGAGGGTTCTGGATGAATAAATAATGGAACTCTAAATAGTGGGAAACTGCAGCTGTAGGGGGGAAAAGTGTGTGTGTGTGTGTGTGTGTGTGTGTGTGTGTGTGTGTGTGTGTGTGTGTGTAAACCCTTTATATGTTCTTCTAGAAAAATTTTGAAGACATTGTTAAAAAAAAAAGCAAGGTATTTAGTAGTATGGGTACTATGCTATCTGTTGGTGTGGAAAAGGAAATTAAGATTCCTGTATTTATATTGATCTGAATATACATTTAAAAATCTCTGGGAAGGTAAACAGAGAGCTAATAGGAATGGACACTTGGAAGGGATGGGAACTGGGCATATAGGGTACCGTGAGGGGGTCCTTCTCATGGCCATTTTATACTTTTTGGTTGAGTTTAGTACCTAGTTAAACAATTAAGTCAAATGATATTTGAAAGGTCTTCTTTGATTATTAAATGTGTTTGAGGAATCATTTTGGGTAAGGAAAGGATCAGCTCACTCTCTTTAATTCTGTGATACTTAATTATGCACAAAAGCCAAGGCATAGTTGGAAATAAAGAGCTCACATATGGTTTTAGACTTCCGGTTGCTGAAAATATAGTCGGGCAGACAGGCAGATACGAGTGTAATACAACTAAATAGAACAGAAATACAGAAATAATACAGTGGATGAACGGGGAAGGGAATGAGGGGAAAACCTTGCAAAGGAGGTATGGCTCAAACTGGACGTTGAGGGTCATGTAGGACTTTGACAACTGGTGATGGGCAAGCAGTGTGCAGACGGGGGTAAAGAGGACATCCTTTGGATGGAGGGAGAAGCACATGCAAAATCTGGGACGCCAGTGCGCACGCGAGGTTTCATTTGCGAATGGAGCAGCGTAGCCATTTCTGTGTAGTGGGTGTGTAGGCTGTGTTTACTGGTGCAAGGGCAGTCTTGTATTGATTGGGATGTATGTCTGAATACAATCTTTTTTTTTTTAAATGGGAAATTGCAAATACAGACAAGTAGACAAGATAGAATAATGCAGCATATGAGCTTCAACAGTTCCCAACTCATGCCAGTCTGGTTCTGTGTGTACTCTACCCACTGCACCCCCCAGCTCCTGCCATATTTTGGAACAGATCCCAGGTAACATCATTTCCTCTGTAAATGTTTCAGTGTATGGCTCGAAGAGATAGGGATTCTCTCTCTTTTGAACCAGTTGGAGTGCAGATTTCCAGGAGCTTCACAATGTCATCAATAGTTTATTTTTAATAATTTTCTGTGTATTTGTTTAAATCAATAAATAAAGTTCACAGTTGCAATTGACTGGTATGTCTTTGATGGAGTTCTCTCTCCATTTTCTTCCCCCCTTGTAATTTATTTTTTGAAGGAAGGCAGTTGTTTGTCATAGAGCATTTCTCACTGTCAAGATTTTACAGATCACACCCCCGTGGCCAAGCTCTGTGTGTTCCTGTTGTTTGTATTTTCTGTAAATTGGTAATTGAATCTGGGGGTTTGACCTGAACCAGGTTAGTTTTTGTTTTTGTTTTGGTTTGGCTTAGTTTTGTTTTGTTTTACCATATAGGTTGTATCGTGGTTTCCCATCAGGGATACCTAATGTCTGGTTATCTCTCCTTTTCTGATTTTAGCAGCCACTGCTGATCATGTTTCTATTTTAGTAATTCTTTGCAGAGTAAAAAGAATAAGCCTGTGTACATCTTTGTTTCCACGACTCCTCTTTTCTTTCATTTCTTAGCCCTTATACATACCCCGTGCAGTAGAGAATTTTTAAATGTAAATGTAGGAGTAATTGGTTTCAAGTGACCTTCCAAAACGTTGCAAGATGTTTTTTGGAAGAAAAAGAAATTTATCTTGTTGTAATGGATTTCCACAGCCTTGATTGTTTGTGTTTTATACTTCGTTAGATTGTTCTTCCAGTGCATTAGAAGTAAGGCGGCGGGGAAGCAATGGTGCGGAAGTATCCCATGGCAGGTAGGAGTTATTCCTGTCTTCAAACCTGCTCTGCTAAGACTGTTTAATCTGTGGTGTTGCCCGAAAAGACCTTGAAGTCCGGTATAAACTGGTTGGTCTTCATCATACTGTCTGTGAAAGATAGTTCTTTTCTTTAAGCAACCTATCGGGTCTTCTAATTCAAAGGACTATTTGGTTATAGTGGAGATTTAATTATTTGCCTCCTATTTCACTTAAATATTTTTCAAGGTCTTAAATGTGGTCACTGTTCTGTTTAGGAAAAAATTGGGATTTACTTGACTGACTTGAGCATCTTTTTATAGACTGGTATCTCCTTGATGTTGGTATAAGCAGGGTGTCATTTGTAAGCTCCTAGACCGTGAGAGACTGATAGCTGCCCAGCGCATGAGGGGCTCAGCCCAGGGAAGTGGCAAGACTTCCATTGGTCGAGGTGTAGCTCGGACTTATGACTGGATTCCTACAGTGAAATCGCCCTAAAGCCAAACTCAAAGCAAGCATAAGACACTGTATACTTTTGGGGATAAATTCATCTCGAGAGAGTAATTTTTTGTGAAAGGTATACATTGTGGCTGTTACAACTGCAAAAGCACTTGGTTTGATCACTACTTGTCCTTGAGGCCCGGGAAATCAGTGGTCTTGGACAGAGAAGGAACTAAGCGTTGAAAGTACTGTCCAGAAACTACTACTTTGTGAGTTAGGTACCTACTCTATCCTAGAGGCAGAAACGATCCCAGGAATGTTCAGAAATATTGGACTACTGTTTCCATTTCCTCTGAGAAAAGGGCATTCTAGATATGATGCTTGCATTAATGTTTTATATTAAGCTTATTTTCTTTGTCTTTTAGGAGCCTCATTCCAAAGAGCATTCTGTAACCAACAAGTCTCAGCATGCCTCTGAGCCTCTTCATTATCTTTGCACCCAGCAGAGAAACCCATTCAAGGTCCTGGACAAGAATCAAGAACCGTCTCTCTGGAAACAGTTCACCAAAGGCAAAGCTGAGGAAAAGATGAATGATAAGAAGCAAAAGGAAAAGGGAGATGTGCTCTTGGATCAAAAGAAGGAATGGAAGCCTGAACCCAACTGCTGGACGAAGCAAGATCTCTCATCTGGCCTGGAGGTAAAGAAAAAACAACCTGCACCTCAAGAGCAGCTGCGAGGGGAGAAGACAGAGTTTCAGTGTGAAGCAAAGGAGAACGAAGGGACGCACACAAGAAACCTTTCTGAGGTTAAATCCAAGCAGTGCCATGGTGAGGAGCTGAGGAAACCATCTGGGTTTCTTCAGGAGAAATCACATGTTGAGAGTCATCCTGTCCAAAAAAAATCAGAGCCTCTGAGGGAAAAGGAAACCAAGCCTTTGCCTGGAATTATTCACAGTCAGAACCCAATAAGCAAGCCCCGGAAAGGGGAACACGTCAGCAAAGAGCACCCCAAGAGCCGGGAGGCGAGAGAAACAAAGGCAAGGGAAGAGCCAGGCTCGCAGACCACTCGACAATCGGAGCCCGGGGACGGGCCTGCACCACCGGCCACAGGGCGCTCCCTGGGACAGAGGCCGGAAGCAGCCTCCAGCCATGGCGACCGTGAGGAGAATAATGCCGTTTTCACTTCCTCTAAGCCTCCCTTGCTCTTTGACTCGACTCCAGACTCACACAAGGAGGAGAACCTCCCGTTCCCTGGTCAGAGTGTGCAAAGAAAACCATCTCCTGCCTCAGGTGTTTCCAGGAAGGTGGAGCCCTCAGACCCAGCAGCCCAACATGTGTACCTCACAACACAACTGAAGCAAAAGAAGGTAACTACTGACCTACCACATGCTTTGTTTTTAAGGTCAGAGCATTGCTTGCTGGGGGCCACGAGCAAGTCAGACATGTCAACGTGAGAAAGGTTTTGTGGGTGGATATTTAGGTTCTGTCTTTTCCTGGGTTTATATTTTCAGGGTTAGTCAATCCATCAGGTTTAAAACAAAACAAAACCAAACCCTGGTTTTCACACATATACTTAAAGGATGCTAATTTCAGAGTTTTCACATTTTAGGCTACTTTAATCTGAAACTGTCTTTCTAACAACTTGAGGCAGGAGGTCATCTTACAGGATCTGTTTTTCAGAGCACACTGAGATCGGTGAACATCCAGGCTCTTCCAGACAAGGGTCAGAAGTTGCTCCAGCAAATTCAGGAGTTGGAGGAAGCCCTTGGTGCTCTTGCCCTCACCACAGAGCCAGGTAAAATGGGTTACGCCCCAGAACTCGGGGTTTGCAGGAACTTGAAAAGAGACATTCGAGAAGCCCTTTCAATAAAGAATATGTTGATCATTCACCTTTCCATTTGATTATCTACTTCTGAGCTTTTCAAAATTACACTTGTGATGTATAAAAACTTCCTTCATTTCCTGTGGACTCAACTCTTTCCCATCGTTTAAGAACTTTTCAGTTCTGTGCTCTTGAGGTCTTCCCCAGCTTGTTGGAGTGGTAGTGATCCCACCCGCTTTTAACCTCCTCTCACACATATAATTCCTTTGCCTTCCTGAAGTGTAACCTGTTCTTTCCTTGTTTTTTTTTTTTTTTCCTGAGCAGACACTAATGAGAAGAGTAACACTCCAGTACCACAAGAGAGAAGCTTCACCAAAAGTACCACTGACCCCCCTCACTTGGTGCCTCCCCAGCCCCTGCAGGGTCAGGGTCTCCACCCTCTGGGTTCTCAAGGACTGAAGGCTGCCTGCCCTGTAGCTGCTGAGGGACCCAGTTGGTGCTATGGAGGTAAGATTCAAGGGCCTGGCCCTGGTGTGAATAGCTACCCCTACAAGTTAAATGCTGCCTAGGAGATGTTTCTTCCCATGTGAAGGGAAAAGCCATTCTGGAGTTGTAAGTTGCCTGTATGATACAGATTGTGATGCTCAGCTGAGCTTTGCACGGTGTTTAGATTTCTGTGCCTGCCTTGTTCACGGGCCGTAATCAGTCAATCCAGTGGCCGGCACATGGGAATCATCTCTTAAATGTTTGTGAATGAAAACTTAAACTTACACCACGATGAGGTAGGCAGACCAGCGGGTACATTTGCACCCCATGTGTTAAGGCAGAGCAGAGAAGTGACAGAAGTCAAGCTGATGACCAAAGACGCACCGAGAGCAGTGACACCCTATTTAAATGAGTTTCCATCCTGATCTTTCCAGAAAACTGTGGTTCAGAAGTAACTGCAAATAAAGATCATATGTCCTAGGACGGGTTGGTTTGCTGATCAGGAGACGGAACCCGAGCTCACTGGTCCGGTTGGCTGGCAGTGACTGGAAAAACTAAGGCCCGTTTTCTACCAGCTGAGGAGCACTAGAGAACTAGAACGGGAAAAGGAAAGAAGCAAGGAAACAGAAAAAGGAAGGAAAGGGAGAAAGTGGAAGAGTGATAGTGAACAGGGGGTAAGAAATAGATTCGGTGCCGGTTGCAGCTGAGGCCAGCCTAAAAAGGAACAGAAAATGCCTTTGTTTTGGGACTCCTGGGTGGCTCAGTCGGTTAAGCATCTGACTCTTGATTTCAGCTCAGGCCGTGATCTCAGGGTCATGAGATCAAGACCTGCGTTGGGCTCTGTGCTCAGTGGGGAGTCTGCTTGTGCCTCTCCCTCTGCTCCCCCCCTGCTTTGCACACTCGCACGTACGTGCATGCTCGCTCTCTCAAAATCCTGGTACAGTGTGGTCAGCGTGTGAGGTGCACATCAGGGGCTGTCTCCCTGTCTACCTAAACATCCAGGGATTTAACCTAGCCCAGCCTTCCCTGTTGCTGGCTTCCCTTCTTTGCACCCAGCCCCAAGGATCTTTTCTTCCTAAAATAATGATGGCGTTACCTTTTCCTCTGCCCCCTCTTTGAAACTGGAGAAAAAAAAGCCTACCAAAAATACAACAAGTTCTCTTTTTCTTACACTTTCTGTTACTTTGCCCTTTATTATGGTAAGCGTGTGGTTAAACAAATGGGAAATGGGGCTAGAGGAGCCTGCGAGGAAGGAAAATCTAGGGGCGAGAATTTGTAGTCCGTGCAGATCGGTTACCTGGCAAAATGTAAATTGCTGGTTTGCAGCGTTAGCCAGGGTGGAGCATTTGTGACCCCTTTAGATACCACCTGTCTGTACGCAGGTCCTACGAAACAAGACGGCCCTCACTCTACATGGAAAATCATAAGTAAAGCCATTGATGAGCTGCACGCGTCACTTGAGTCTCGGCCCGGTGAGACAGTCGTGGCAGAGGATCCAGCTGGGCTGAAGGTGAGCCAGGGGAGGCTCATGGTGCAGACTGCGCTCCAAGAGTGTCCCTGCACCGCGGACCAGGAGACCCTGGGGGGCTGCCCTCCTGATGGATCTTTCCCACAGATAATGCTTTCATGGCTTCCCTTCTAGTATTTTCTTCTCCTGTTTAGCACTGAGAAGAAAGTACAAAACCTGCTTTTTTTTCATAAAGCCACAAAATTCTGTAGGTCGATAGCAATAGAAGACCCATTTATTGAGCTTCGGTAGGTGCCACAGGATGCAAAGGACTTACTGCTCTTAACTAGTTGGGGGGAAGTGCATCTACAACATATATGAAACACCTAGAAAATGACACAAATACAGAGGTAAAACGTGCACTGTAACGGACCACAGATGGTGTACAACGTACAGAAGGAATGCAGACTAGGGGAAAAGTCACCGTAGGTAAAGAATTCTTTGTTGCCTGCCTACCCTGTGCCTTCACAAAGTTGCAAGCCCGAAGGTAGTAGAGAGGGTAAAGCCAAACACTCCAGTTAGAGAGAAGAGGTCACAAGTAGGACTTGCCAGTGAAGATGGGGAGCAGGTGACCATCCCTGAGCGGGGGCCTCCCTTGCAGTACAACCTGGCACAGGGAAGCAGCTCAGATAGCCTCGCTCAGGAGATGGGATGAAATCACATAGAATCGTGAGCCGGGTGTTTTCTGAAGATTGTTTTTGTCACGGGGTACAAGATGAGTAAGAAAAGACTGGAAGGGGGTGTCCGTCAAGGGGCTGTTGAAATTTATGACTCACGGTGCAGAATGGGACATTGCCTACAGAGAGGGGAGTCGCATTTAAGAGAGAATGAAGAAGAACCATCGGAATGGTTCATCAGTGAAATGAAGGGGGCCGGTCAGAGGTCTTGGTTGCAAGCCGTAGAAACTGCCTGGCTGATTAAAGCAGACAGAACGAGACTCTCACTTGAGGGACGCTCCTGATAGACGTGCTGGCCAGTAGGGGCAAGTCTGTCCCGGACAGGACATACGGTCGCCCTGGGTGGGAGGTGGAATCAAGGACCTCCGAGGTGCCGTGAGCAGCCCCATGACAGCTGGAATATTGGGAGGATCACTTATGAAAAAGAGGAGAGGAGAGCGTGGAGTCCGTGTAATCAGGATCCAGCCCCTCCTGAGGAATTTATACTCAGCTTTTGGTTCTTCCCTTTGCCAGGTCCCTTTGCTACTGCACCAGAAGCAGGCATTGGCCTGGTTGCTATGGCGGGAAAGTCAGAAGCCACACGGAGGAATTCTCGGTGAGTCTGGTGTTATGTTAAGAGCCACCATGCGTATTGTTTCATTTGATCCTGTCAACAGCTCTGGGATGGGCACTCCGCTGCCCCCCTTTTACAGATGACGAAACTGAGGTGCAGGATGGTAAAGCAACATAGTCGAGTATAGAGTTGTAGGATCGGTCAGGTCGTGGCTGCAGGCGGTAGAACCTGACTGTGGCTAATTAAGCAGAGGGTGAGTTCATTCTCTGGTGGCACAGAGAGTCTCTGGGAGGGGTGGAGAGCCAGGCTGGAGACCAGACGTCTAGGAGCAAGGCCAAAGCCAAGTAAGAACCTGAGTGTCTTGTGGGAACTGTCATGGCTGCTTTGTGCCATCAGACTCTAAAGGAAAGTGTGACCACCCCAAAGTCAGAGACTCCTGTCTCCACCCCTTCCTGCTTCCTGAAATCCTGAAAAAGGATTTCACAGGGAGCCTCTTTTCTCAAGTTGCTTGCATCTGAATTGAGCTCTTGTGTGAGTATGTGTGTTCTCCAGAGCCAAGGCACACTGCCAGGGCCTTAGGTGCAGGGAACCCTAGAAAGCCAGTGTTCTGTGTTCTGCTTTGGAGACTCATCGAACTAAAATTTTCCAAGGTGCTCAGCTTCTAGAAAACATGACAGATGGCCACAATGGCTAGTGAGTGGCCGTGACGGGGCTCCCCAGGACCACCTCCAGGGTCGATGATTTGCGAGGAGGATGCACAGCATATAGTCATACTCATGGCTAGGATGTATTAACAAAATAAAAACATAAAATTATTCTGATGTGTTGTAAGTTGAAATCTGCAAAGGGAAAAGGCCCACGGGACAAAGTTCAGGGGACACCAGGTGGAAGCTTCCAGAGGCCTTTTGCAGTGAAGTCACACATGGAAGATGTTGCCAAGCGGGGGAGTTTGGGCCCCAGGTGTTTACTGGGAGCTGCTCACAGTGGCGGCTTCAGGCCTGGTCGGTCCTGAAATGCCAGGCTTCCAAAAGGAAAGCAGATGTTCAGCATAAACCATAGTGTTTGTGCACACAGTGTAGGCACAGTGAGCCACTCTTAGAAGTTCTGAAAGTGACGGGAACCCTGCTTGAATTGGAGTTCCCCGGTGCCAGTCCAGGGCCAACCCCATCAGCAGGCCTTCCCGAGGATGGTGGTGAGGCCGGCTGTGTTAACTCCTTATCTGCATAGTCACAGGGCCAGAATTTGAACCAGAATCCACGCTGTGAAATTTTACTTCTGCTTATGTCAGAATGATTATTTAAACTGTTACAGTGAGGATGAGAATATTTTATAGGGTACAAATAGGAAATTCAATGAGGGAAGTTCAGTGATCGGCACGATGACAGTACCTGAGAAATGTTAGTTTATGCCCCTCTTTGATGAACAAGTTAAGGGAATGGAGGACTGTTTTGAATTAACTCCATCTACTGGCTCTTTCTGCTTTGGGGGAGTGAAAAATTAAAAAACTGGGCAGTATCACCAAACTGAGACTGATACCAGGGAATGCACTAGATAAGTAACAATACAACGTGAACACTAGAACAAGGTCTAAATAATAAGCTTTAAGTTTTGCAAAAGTCACAGTAAATGTCTTTGATCTGGAAAATGAGGAGCAGGGGCCAGGGTTCCTCTTCGTACACAGAGTCGAGGATTTGTTAGGGTCGGAAAGAATAGTGCCTAGACCAGCAGCAGTAAGTAAGGGCCAAGGTCTGCCTGTGGTTTCTTCTCTTGAAGTGGAGGTGATTCTTTGCCTTAAGTGATAAACTCTCTGACTTTGGTTTTCCTTTTCCAGCGGATGATATGGGATTAGGGAAGACCCTGACAATGATTGCACTCATCCTGACCCAGAAGAATCAAGAGAAGAACAAACAAGAGGACAAAAACACAGCATTGACTTGGCTTTCCAGAGATGGTATACGAATGCCCTCATAGCCTCTTATTTCCTGAATTGTCTGAGCCAGCAGAGAGTGGACATGTTTAAGCGATGAGAGAATACTTCTGGTCATATGTCATTAATTTATCAGAAAACCAGTGTTAGACTCTGTCCTGTGGCATCATTTCTGATGCTGAATCTGCTCATTACCAGTGATCGTTTCCCCTTTTGCTATAAACTTAGCCTGACCTGCGATTAGAAAAAAGTGTATAGAGAAAGCCAAGGCTCTGGAATGGCTCTGATGAAGATTTTTGTTAACATTGAGGACACAGGTACAGGGTTGGGCCAAATTAGTAATTTTTTTAAGGAAGGTCTGTCCCAACCTCCGATTTTAGCCACCATAGCAGAAGCTGTTTCTAAGTTTTCTGAAATTCCGTAAGTTTCCCAATTCTAGACAATTTCTGTCTCACCACAACCTCTGTTGTTAGGATAAAATAACTGCCCAGGTACTTTAAAGGTCCTACATGTAACGTGTCGGCAACCCCACATCACGCGTGAGTTGCCAGGTATGCAAGCACATGACTCAGTTGGTAGGCCAGGTGCAGATCTGGCTGTCCGCTCCCCAGGCCTCTCCTGAGCACGGTGGCAGCTGGGTCCTGTGCCTCCGGGTGCAGCAGTAACCTGCTGCGTGCAGAGCAAAGAGTTGCGGGAGGAGGAGCAGTGGTACGAGTACTCCGTCACTAACCGGCTCCCACGTAATTTTTGCCTGTCTTAGGGGTTTTGTACTTATATTGTAATGGGGATGTCATTAAGTTATGCTTTTCAGAAAAAAGTAATAACACTCCCCTGTAACAAATCAACTCAGGACGAGGTAGGAAATGATCTCGCTTCTACCTCTTGACCACTGTGGAAACATTGGTTTTTTTTAGACTGAGACCCCATACTGCGCCCTTTCCCTCTTTAGCCACTCTCTCTGTCTGACCTCTGTACAGGGGAAAATAAAGAAGTGTTTTGAGTTAAAAGACCACCCCTTTCATTTCCCATTCTATTCTATGCTGTGTGTGGAAATAGGAGCAGCAGTTTGTGAAAAATAGTGTTTGAAGGAATAAAAGTCAAGAAGAAGGGGAGGTACCTTTAAGGAGTTAAAGACTGTTTGATGAGAGCCATGAGGTGTTGATTTTTTTCCCCTCAAGACTCCTGTGAGTTCACTTCCCATGGAACGCTGATCGTCTGTCCTGCCTCCCTGATTCATCACTGGAAAAACGAGGTGATGAAACGTGTGAGCAACAACACGCTAAGAGTCTACCTCTATCATGGGCCCAGTCGGGATCAGCGTGCAAAAGTGTAAGTGCGGAAATACGGCAGTCGGTGAGAGCCCTCAGCCTCTTGGCTTGAGTGGCCGTATTGGCCTTCCCTCTTCTCCCTGAGCGCTCACGTAGTCGGGACTAATGATAACGTGTGAAGACCGAAGGCACTGTCGTCACCCAGCATCCTTCACCTGTGCTGAGAGATGCATCTTTGAAGACAGTGGTGTTCTCTTGCTGTATCCTTGTTACCATCCTCAACAAGAGCTGCCGTGTGAGGTAGCCTGAGATGCCCGAGCTGTCAGCTAGGGAGCCCTGGCACGTGACGGTGTGCCATGGTTATTTCATTCTTGTTGAATTTCTGATTCCAATTTCATGTTCTTTTTCCGTTCGTGTGAATGCAACCAGCCTAGTCTTACAGAGCATCTTGGTAGAATGTTAATGATTAGTTGGTATAGACTGGCTGTGTTTTTCATATAGGAACCATCTAAGAAGTTTTCTTTTTTTTTTTTAAGATTTTATTTATTTATTTGACAGAGACACAGCGAGAGAGAGAACATAAGCAGGGGGAGTGGGAGAGGGAGAAGCAGGCCTCTCGCGGAGCAGGGAGCCCGATGTGGGGCTCGATCCCAGGACCCTGGGATCCTGACCTGAGCCGAAGGCGGACGCTTAACGACTGAGCCCCCCAGGTGCCCCTCTAAGAAGTTTTCGATTCAAGAGTTTAGGATTAGACCTAGTTGAATTCCTGAGGGGGTAGGATCAGGAAGGTGGGAGGAAAATGTTTCCCCGGTTGGTAATTTTAGTCCTAGTTTTTGCCTTTTGGTTTTAAAGGATTTTTTTGGTTTTTAAGATTTTATTTTTATGTAATCTCTACACCCAATGTAGGGCTCGAACTTCCATCCCCAAGATCGAGGGTCACATGCTCCACCGACTGAGCCAGCTGGGCGCCCCTAAAGGAATTGTTTTTTGTTCCTAATTGTGATGAGATGGTCTGGGTTGAATATTTGCTGATCTAGTCAAGAAGACAGTTGTTTCTGCTTCTAAATAATCCCCCCAACCTGTCATATTGGATATTTCATCTCCTAAAGAACAGAGCAGTAGTCTTTCAGGGGTGAGTTGCGAAATTGGGGTCCCTCAGTCTTACACCCACTCTCACGAGTGAGGGTCGCTTTAGCAGACTGAAGGTGTCAGGGCATCAGTGACAGGCCTGTGTGCCTTCTCCAGCAGAGTACTGTCAGTGGCTGGCCTTTGTTCTAGATAGTTTTTTTTAAAGACTTTATTTATTTATTTGAGAGAGTGAGAACGAGCAGGGGGCAGGGGCAAAAGGAGAGGGGGAGGCAGACTCCCCACTGAGCAGGGAGCCCGACTCAGGGCTCGATCCCAGGCCCCTGAGATCATGACCCGAGCCGAAGGCAGATGCATAACCGACTGAGCCACCCAGATGCCCCTGTTCTGGATAGTTATTAGAAATACATTGCACCTTACTTGATTGGCACTTCAGTCATACCTGGTTTGGTATTCAGAATAAACTCGTTGACTGATTGGAATCATTCTTAATCCTTCTCTGTATGATGCTGAGTCAATGTGTAGACGGTGCTCCCTCTGAATTGGGCGCATCATTTTTATCAAAAAAGTATTTCTGGACCTTCTCCCAGATGCACAGTGTTGAGTTTCGTTGGAAAAAAGATTTGTGCTTTTTGTTAAGAATCTTTACACGTGAAGGGTATATAGGCAAGGTAAACTCAAAGCATACAGAATGTTTATTTTACCCAGATGTCAAGGCTGGATTAATGGGTTTTCAGAAATCCGTTATAGAATGATAAAGCAAAAGATCAGATCTAGATGAACAATGCTTTGAGGGTTTCTTACTTCCCTGGGACTTCAGCATCAATCTAGCTCTCAAATCATCACTAAATGTTAATTCCCAGCCCTGCCCTACTTCTGTCGTTGCCAGATCCTTTCCAGCTTTATATGACTCCAGCCAGAGATTTTTCTCTCTGACTCATGGGATGGGAACAGGGAGGCCGTTTAGCTGTAGTAAGCAGACTATAAAAATGATCAGACGTAAGGCAAGTGAGTAAAATTTCCCTCTCCCAAACTATGTATGTGTGGATTAAGGACATGAATTAATGAGTTCTGCCGACTGTCCCTCCAGTGCAGGCATTTTTATAAAGGGATCACCTCCAGCTCCCCTGTCAGTCTTGGAGGGATTGCTTACTGTTTGCCTTGTGTCCTGTCGGTGCAGCCTCTCTACCTATGACGTCGTGATCACTACCTATAACCTTCTGGCCAAGGAGATTCCCACACAGAAAGAAGAGGGGGTGATCCCCGGTGCAAACCCCGGTGTGGGGAAGGTGAGTCTGCGAGCCGCACCTCATTATCTACCCGAGTCTTTCTACCACATCACACACAGCAGAGGTACCTTCCTGTGAGGTCAGGAATGGCCTGAACATTCCACCTGTGGAGATGGAAAGTTCTTTCCCCTCTTCCTTCCCTTTTATTCTAGACAGACGTTCGTCGGGGATAAAGGTTGAGGTTTGGCACAATATTCCCTTGTTGTGTGGACTGAATGTTAAGGACGTTGCAGTAGTAGTGGTGCTTGTCACATGACCGTGGGAAGCCCCACCGGTTGCAGTGTTTATCTCAGAGTCTTCCGGGTATACTCTTAGGATATTTTTTATATTTAATGAGAAGACTAATATTTTAGTACGAGTATTTTTGTGTTGAAGCCTATGATTGCCTGCCTCTCTTCAGCCTCCCAGGGAAAAGAGGTTGCAAACAATGAGGCCACAAAGGGGCTCGAGGCTAAGCGCTAACCGGGTGAAAACTCTGGGTGTTTGCTAGGGCGCCCGGGGTCGTCTGTTACTCAGTGTAAGGCTTTATTGCCCAGTTACCGTGGGGCGTTTTTCTCCCGAAAATATAGTGCTGTTCCCAGAACGAATCTTTTGCATGTTCTCATTTTTCGTCCAATCTCCGTTTTTGGGGAAATCTCTCGAATGCTTCTCTGGTCAGACCAACCCTGACTTCTTGTTGATAATGAACTGTTCAGATTCCTCAGTGGTTCCTCATTGCTTTCAGGATAAAACCGTAGTTCCTTTCCATGAGGTCTGAGGCTTTTTATGACCTCACCCTGCTTGCGCGTGTCTCGTCCCCTACGCCCCAGCCCTCCCTGTGGCAGTGCGTGGCAGTACCAGGGGACGTGTACCTGCCCTGCTCTGTCATGCTGCCGGCCTTTGCATTCTCTCTGAATGGAAGGCTTTGCCTCCATGCCTTTTCCAGGTGAATTTGTTTTGGTTTTTTTTCACCTGCGTCAAGAATCCTTTAATCCTTTGGTTAAATGCCTCTCCTAGCACCTTGTGCTTACTCATGTCATAGCCCTCCACACGCTGAGCCAGTACTGAGTACTATGCGCCACCTGCTATTTCAGGTATTAGGGATACAGCAGTGAACAACACGGACTAGGGTCCTCCAGCATGTATCGGATTATCCAGTGGGACATAGTATATAAACATCATACTGTATTTAATCTTTCTGCTTGTTTTTCTTCCCGCTACATTGTGAGCTCCTTAAAGCTAGGACCTGTCCTTTATGTCTGATTTTGCATCTTACGTTATAAAAGTAGACTTGCAGTAAATTTTTAGTGAATTTTTGTCAATTTAGTAAATACTTTATTGAAACGAGCGAATTTCCAGGCTCAACACCTAGCGCAGTCCTGACCCACGGCTGTTGCTCACTTTTGAGTTTTAATTTGAAAACTCAAGTTAAAAGATTTTACTCTTAAGTGTCCTTTTTTTTGTTTTAGTTTTAATTTTTTTATTTCTTAAGATTTTATTTATTTGACAGAGAGATAGCAAGAGCAGGAACATAAGCCGGGGGAGTGGGAGAGGGAGAGGGAGAAGCAGGCCTCCCATTGAGCAGGGAGCCCGATGTGAGGTTCGATCCCAGGACCCTGGGATCATGACCTGAGCCGAAGGCAGACACTTAACGGCCGAGCCACCCAGGCGCCCCTAAGTGTCTTTTTTTTTTTTAAATTAAAGATTTATTTATTTATTTGAGAGAGAGAGAGAGTGCTTGAGCAGGAGCAGGAGAGGCAGAGGGAGAGAAGATTTCAAGCAGACTCCTGATGTGGAGCTTGATCTCATAACCCTGAGATCACAACCTGAGCGGAAACCAAGAGTCAGAGGCTTAACCAACTGCACCACCCAGGCACCCCTACTCTTAAGCATCTTAAACTCCAAGATTGGGGTTCTCGAGTTGACTTGTTTCTACCCACTGAGAGTCTCCACTTTTGGTTTCTTCAGCTTCATTCTCATTTCAGTATACCTGATCTAAGCCCTAAACTGGACGGAAAGCGTGGATTCTCAATACTTGTTCATTATTTCCCCATCTCTTCTTGAAGACATGTACATTTTCCCATACTTTTGATGATGTCGCTTGGGTTTCTTCCAGGATAGTGCAAAAACGCCTTTGCTTCGAATAGTCTGGGCTCGAATCATATTGGATGAAGCTCACTGTGTGAGGAACCCGCGAGTGCAGACTTCCATGGCTGTGTGCAGGCTCCAAGCCCAGGCCCGTTGGGCTGTCACTGGAACCCCCATTCAGAACACCTTGTTGGACATGTATTCACTGCTCAAGTGAGTAGAACTCCTCAGCATTATGTAAATGTGAACCGAGTCAGTTAACCCTTCATCATTATTCCTTATCATGACAAACCTCCAGAGTGTGCCAGATTATCTCGTGTAGCGGATGGCAAGCTTCTCGACCTTTAAAGGGCAAAGGAATTCATATTTATGAGAAGATAATCAGTTGATGGACTGGCAGATACAGGACTGTGATTACATCCAGCCCCTATATATGGAAAAATATAGGATGGATTAAAGTGAAACAAAAGTCCTCTTTCTTCGGTACGGTGAATGTCTTGGGCTTTTTCTGTTTTAAAGCATATGGCCTAGGGTCAGGCCTACTATTTACTCGAAGCAAACAGAAAAGAATGCTGATTTTAAAGCCCTTGCTTTTATTCAAGTAAGCCCATAAGAGGATATGGAATTTCTTTGCCGGCCTTTGAAGCTTTAGGAATAAATTCCAGCTATTGGTTATATGTCCTGTTGTGACGATACAGATATTGTTAATAGGAAAATTCACATTTTGTAATGTGATTTTGTTATCAACTTAGATTCTTTTGATGTGTCTTGCAGAGCTTTGCTATGAAATTCACTGTTAAAAAATGAATGACGGATGTAACAGAAAACTTGGATTTGTTTCTCATCTCCTGTGTTTCCTTGGACCCTTATTTACTCCTTGAACCATTCTCCAATTCTTCTTTCCTACTCTCTGTCTTCTTCCTCAACAAAAAAAGATTTCTCCGTTGCTCTCCATTCGATGATTTCCAACTGTGGAAGAGCCAGGTTGACAATGGTTCAAAGAAAGGAGGAGAACGGTTAAATATTTTAACCAAGAGCCTTTTGCTGAGGAGAACAAAAGACCAGCTGGACTCCACAGGCCAGCCCTTGGTAATCTCGTTTATACTTGTCCCTGGGGGAGGCCAGGGAAGGAGACTGACATGTCCTCAGTTTGGCTTGAATAGGCATCTGCTTTGCTCGGGAGCCTCTGAGTGTCCCATCTCCCTGTGAGGGGGCCCTAAGTGACCATGTGTCACAGCCATCCTGTTTTTAAGGCAGGTGGGAGAGCTGTCCAGGGCTTGACTAGGTTTCCAGTGTCCGCTGTGGGGAATGTGCTCTGTAATGCCCAGGTCATTTGTCTGAGTTCACCAGCTGATTTCTTCTACTCCTCCAGGTGATGCTGCCCCAGCGTAAATTTCAAGTGCACCATTTAAAGCTTTCTGAAGATGAAGAGAATGTTTACAGTGTCCTTTTGGCAAGATCAAGGTGTGTGCAGTGAGGAAGCACCTCACATTTATTGTTGTGTGATTCCTGTCCTTGCTTGGGAGTGATTTAAGGGTCAGGTTTCTTCAGACTACATTTATAGTGTTATTGATGACTTGGATGTCCACGTTCCTTCTTCTGTTTGTTTGTTTGTTTTGGTTTTTAAATGCCCCTTTCTCCTCAGCCGCTCCCTGGCGTATCTCTGTCTTGTATACACACTGAATCTGTTCTTCATTGGCTTCCTGGTGTAGAAGCCAAACAGTATGGTCGCTGTACACCAGGTGTGTCTGGTCCTGTGGGGCCATATTGGGAAAGAACATCTCTTTGACCTTTGACTTGCGACTCAGCATCTCATTGGAACTTAAAACAACAAACTGCTCTATAATCCTTCTTGTCACATGTTCTTTGTACTTTCTCTAAGCCTCTTGTCCTTCCTGAAATTCCAGATTTACCCTCTCCCACTTGGTACTTCTCACTTCCAATGTGAATATTTTTTTTTCTCTTTGTAAACCTAATGTAATATTATTGTATTTATTGATAAATATAAACCAATACTAATTAACATTACAATAATGTGTTATAAGTTAATAGTAAGTTGTCATCAAACATGGTATTTATACTATTAATATGTTTATTGACAATTAAAAAATGATTTGGCTTTTAGAATAATTACTTTCCATTACCTTTGGCCAGTGCTTGCCATGAACCTGACTTTATTTAATAAGTCTTAGTCAAGATCCTACTGCAAGCACAGTTAAGCAGTGACCCCTGGTAAACCTCTTTGGTCTTAGCAAACATTACATGTACATTTTCTCTTGATCTGAGGCAGGTCAGCTCTGCAATCCTATCTAAAAGGGTGTGAAGGTGGGGGCAACCAATCTGGAAGAAGCCCTGATAATCCATTCAGTAAAGGTAAGCAGTGGACACTCAGAGGTACATACAAGTAACGAAGATATGGATTTAGATCTGGTAAAATTACGGCTACGGGACATTAGGAATGCTTGGTATCAGAGACTTGACCTTAGCTAGGAACCTCAGACCAAAGTAAAATAAGCTGATCTGCCATCGCCAAACCTGGTGATCTAAACTTCTTGTAAGTTACTCTTGAAATCCGAGTTATTAAAACGCAACTAGGCCCGTAAAGAAGACCAATATTTCGTTTGGCTTCCTTGATAGAGAGGTCAGTTAGAGCTATATTATTGAATCACAGATCAGAGAAGGTCAAAACGGCCTCTTTTCAGTTTGTGATTCTTCCCCAAATTTCTGTTTTAAACCCTGTCCTGTTTCCTGTGGTTTGTGTTCCTTCGTGGAAGTGGCCCAGGAGTTTGCTGGGCCCCGGGGGGTGGCAGACTCGCAGAGATCCAGCACCCCCCACGTACTGTTGACCCAGTTGCTGAGACTTCGCCAGTGTTGCTGTCACCTGTCTCTCCTGAAATCGGTAAGAAGAACCCTTCGTGCGCTCCCCCACAGTGGCTGCCAGGTCCATTTCAGTCCTCTGTAACTGGGGTCCAGCCTGCCCGGTCAAGGGGAATGGTGTTTTGGGGTGTCTCTGTGTTCTGGTTGGGGCAGAGAAGAGGAAGCTTCTTTATTTTACTTTATATTAGTTTTTATTGATCTTGAGCTAATTCCCACAGGGTTGAGAACAGCTTTTATTGTTTTTGTTTTTGTAAATAAACTTTATTTTAGAATGGAAAATGTCGTTTTGTTAAACCGTTCATAAATACTTTGGTATTTTAGGATGTCATAAAGCCAATTTAGCTACTAGTTTTTTCTGCCTTCAGGCAGTATTGGGGCTTTTAAGGCTAGTCATGAAAACTCAATTGGAACTTACGCAATTGGAAAAGTTGCCTTTGCGTTGGATAGAGGCACATCCATAATTAAGATGAGCCTGTTAACTCGTTTTGAGGAGCTGTGGTAATGTGTTTTGATTATCAATAGCTTAATTAACTGTACTGCTTTAGCTTGGGAAAACAGGATGATCATGTAATCTGTCTGGCAAATCTCTCAGAAGTTCCATCATTTGATTTATCTTTCATCTGGTGAAAAACTTGCAAGATTATATTTTAATCAGTTTCTCTGAGGAGATACTGACGATGAATTACAAGACGTTTTGCTGTGTGAAATGTTAAACAATTCGCACTTCATTGGCAAATAACGTGTCTTGCTGCCTCAACTGCCCCCCTGCCCCCCTGCCCCCTTCCTGTATTCTCTTCAGGCCCTGGACCCCGCAGAACTGAAAAGTGAGGGCCTTGCCCTTTCTCTGGAAGAGGAGCTCAGTGCTATGACGTTGTCTGAACTCTGTGACACGGAGTCGTCTCCCCTCATTTCCCTTAATGGTGAACAGTTCAAAGCAGAGCTTTTTGAGAACACAAGAGCGAGCAGCAAGGTACTTTTGTCACCTCTGTTCTGATAGAAAAACTTGGATGTCCTCACACATTTTCCGTGTGTGAGTGCGACACGTTTGTCCAAGCGTGTACAGCCGGTGCATGACAGGGCTAGAACTGTGAGATTTGAGCTGGTGCAATTCCCCCTTCCGGCCTTAAATTCTCATGTTATTTCACGAATAAAACGAGTCTTATTACATAGTGGGCTTTCAGAGAGTGATTTGGGCCAGCCCCGGCAGCAAGGCAGATTGTCTATCATGGATCGCTGGGAAACTTGCTTGTCAGGTTTACACCAGCAACAGGGCCTCAGTGAATGAGGAGTTTGTTGCGGGAAAGCTTTAAAGAAAAACAGCAAAGGCTTGACCCCAGAGACTGTGTAATACATCTGAGTGCCAATTGCTTGGACTTGTTGAAAGGCATCCATCTGTGAGTATTATTTCCTAAATTGCCTTCTATCTTCGTTAGTCATTTTGTTCTATTTTCATTAAAGCTTTTCAAGGCTGAAGCGTTGTAGTAGAGGAAGGCTGAAGTGTGCTGTAACTTGAGTCCTGCCTTTCTGTTGGCTGGTTTGGAGTATACGCCATTAGTCTGTGTACCCTGAGAGTGGGGCTAGGCTCTCAGCTGCTGTCTGAAGCTGCCGTTCCCAGCCTCAACCTCTCTCCAGAGGCGCTTTTTTTTTTTTTTTTTTTTAATGTAACTAGAAATGAGGTCACTGCCAACGGAATGGTGTTACTTAAGAATTACTTTAATTAAATTTTCAAAATATTACCGAGGTCTTTACCACTAGTAACTGAGAGAAACCTAGGAAGAACACCATATGTGGACAAACTTCATGTCGTAGCACCTTTAGAGTTAACTACTGGGTTAAAACTTAGAGTCCTCATAATTTGTGTGCCTCATCTAATACTTGGGTGATATTTATTCACAGGGCTTTTTAATGCGAGCCCGTTAATAGTGGTTCAAACCATTTAAGGTTCTTTCGCGCAGGGAAGGGAGTTTTGGCAGCACACACCTAAACTCATGCAGAATGTTCCTGGAGTTTGACCCCAGCTCATGGACCGTGAGTCCGGCTCTTTCACTGAAAGTATTCTCAAAATCCCCATGGCCAGCTTTTTCGTGTGGCAGTCCGAGCACTTAACACAACCCAAGTCGCCAAGACACCAGGTGCTTCATGTACCTGCTTTCTTTCTTCCTGTGAATTCAGAATGGTCCAGAATGGTCCGTCCTCACTTCCTGTCCAGCACATTTGTTGAGAAGGCAGCCTCACGGGTGGTGGGGGCCTCTGGAGGTGAGCACTCGAACAGGGCAGTGCGGGACATAAGCACGGAGGGCACCTCAGGGTTCATCTGGGGCAGCCCCCTGTTTCAGCAATGAGGCATCCGCGCTCTTCACCACGAGTCCCGAAGGGGTACAACAGAAGAGCTCTCTTCATCTCCTGATTCCTGGTCCTTTCCTTCCTCCTCCACCATCCTGGGGATGAACTCCAGGGCCCGTAGAGGCTTCCAAAAGGTCATTTGCATTAGCAATTGGGAGGGATGAATCCAACTGCTTTCCCAGCTCATGCTCATGTGTTCTTACCAACCGTTCCCTGTGGACTCAAGTGTGCTCTGAGGGGGTTTGATAAATGCCCAGAGAGCTTTTGGGGGAAGCCTTAGCAAGTATCGCTCAGACTGGGCGGGCCCTCTTCTTCAACAGCCTGTGGAGCAGGCCCTAAACTGGGTAAAGCTCTTTCACTTTCTCTTTCTGCAAATGTTAGGGTAGTACCTTCTCTGGTCTGCCTACGCGCTGGACGCTAGGGGCACGAACCAGAAACGAAGCAGTCATGTGTTGGCTCTGCTTCCTTGGAGCACCTCAAGTCATGATAGCAAGAGATGACTGATACACAGTGGGTAGTGTGAAAAAGGCCGCGATAATAGGAACCAAAGGAGCCTGAGTAGCAGGTAGGCAGTGGGCACCTAACCCATACTTTGGGGTTAGTGAGGACCTCCAGGAGTGACGTCGATCTGACATGGAAGGGTGTTCTCGGCAGAGGGGAGAGAGTGGACGAAGATGAGACAAAGCATGGCTTAGCGGAGGAGGAACTTGGGTATGACGGGAACACCATTTGAGGGGGGGGTAGTGAGCTAGGAAGCTGGAGACAGCAGCTGAGGCTGGAGCAGCATGGAGCTGGTAGGTCATTGGCAGGAGCTTGGGCTCGATCCTCAGTGGGAAGGCCCTCCTGCCAGGGGAGGAAAATGACAGACTGGCATTTTAGAAGTAGCCCCGGGGCTGCAGAGAGGAGAGTGGCCTAGAGTGGGGTCAGACCAGAGGCAGAGAGGACACTTCAGGAGTTCAGGTGAGGGGTGATGGAGAAAAGCGAATTTGCTACCACTTACGTTATACTAAATAACATTTCCCAGATTTCGTCTCTGTTGGTGGAATTGGAGGCAATCCGAAGAAATGCAGTGTCCCAAAAGAGGTAAATGTGTTATTTTGTTATCCAAGTATTGTTTGTGATGAATCAAGAAACTTTGATATTGCTGATAGTTCTAAGTCTCGGCTTTTTAGAAATCCAGGACCTTGAATCCTCCTTAGCAGAAAGCACTGAGGTTACAGCGCATATTCTCTCTGATTTCTAGTTAACATATTTATGGCATTGATTGAGAAGGAAGTCCCTAGAGGATCAGAGTGAGCTAAGCATCTGGAGAAGTGTTTAAAAGTAGAGAAGCAGCTAAAGAAAAGCAAGGGAGTGACAGGTGCAAAAGGCAGGGCGAGGTGTGGTATTGGAGAGGGAGCCCCGCGGTGCTGGGAATGTTCTTGAGCTGGGTGCGTGGATCCATTCATTATTTGTTATCCTTACATGTGTGTTATGGATCTGCGTTTGTATATGTGGAATGTTTTGATTTCAAAAACTTAACCACCCTAATTAAAACATAGCAGGGGGTGTGGGGGTAGAGACGTCCCAGTGGCTTGTTGTGGCTGCCAAAGGGAGGGCGGCCCATATAGCCCTTTCCTGCAGGACCACAGATCTCCAGATAATAAGAGGCTGTGGTCCTTATCTTAGGCCGGCCACCACTTTATTGTGACGTCATTTAGCATGAGACGGATTACACTCTGGATACGAAAAACAACTGGAAGCATCCTCACCTTAAAATGTGACCCAGGCATGTGCCTCTGCCCCGCAGGGGACAGAAGGCCTTTCCTGGTCTGCATCATCTGTTCCGGGGGTTGACGTTTTGTGTTATCCTTCCTTCCAGTGTCGTGGTCTCCCAGTGGACCAGCATGCTGCAGGTTGTAGCGGGCCACCTCAGGAAGCATGGCCTGACTTACGCCACCATCAATGGCTCTGTCAACCCCAAACAGAGAATGGACTTGGTGGAGGCCTTTAACAGCTCCAGGGGCCCCCAGGTACGAGCCGGTCACACCAGAGCTCTGTCATCTGTCATTGAGATCACCTTGTTCTCAGTTACACAGCGAGTACTGCCGTGTAGCAGCGCAGTCTAAACACATTCGTTGCCTTGATCCCTCCATGTGCTTTTAATTTATTAGACATTTATTGGGGAGCGTATCGAAGAGTGCAGATATTTTAAAGAGAAGGCAGTATGAGGGCGAAAAGCAGAGCAAGAGCAGAGCTGGTTGGCTCAAGCGATCTTTGTCGGGGAGGCAAGCCTTGAAGGGTAGGTGGGAGTTTGATATGAGGAAGTGTGGGGAGACTTGGAGGGGCAGCGAGAAGGTGGGAAACACTGGTCGCCTGGGGGGTGGGGGGCCAGGAAGAGCAGCAACGGCAGGGGGTGGCGGTGCAGAGACCGAGGGAGTGGACAGACTCTGGTTAATGGAAAGTTCGTTGAGCCAGGCACTCCCCCCACCCCGCCCCAACCCCAGTGCTCTAAATTGTAGCGTTTGTGTATTTTAGCAGGCAGACAGTTCGTGTTTTGAGGTTGAGTCACAGAAAAATAGGAAGTGAGCGTTTTCTTAAAGGTGAGGCGCAGGAGACTGCATCTCAGAGTTTTTTTTGACAGCGGAGGGAACTTTGATGGGAACATGGTACTTACCTGTATTGATCTTGGCCTTGAACCTGAGACGGAGGGAGAGATGTATTAGGAGATCAGATCTGTATAAAGGGAATGCTGTGCTTTCTTTTGAAGGTTATGCTAATCTCTCTCTCGGCTGGAGGTGTGGGTCTAAACCTGACTGGAGGAAACCACCTTTTTCTTCTGGATATGCACTGGTAATGACTCTGGATTTTTCTTGCATTATCCTAGCATAGCAGCGGTGGGGGTGTGGGGCAGAGGGGTGATGGGGCCTGACTTCGTATGGTAAGGATGCTCTTTTTGTATTATGCGGATGCCTCTCCTGCATACGTGTTTACACGTCCTGGTCTATATAGGGTGTGGGGCTGTTGATGGCCCTGAATTCCTGAGCAAGCAAGGCTTCAAATGACTGCTTAAAATAGCATTCACCTTATTGTTAATCTTACATCTGTTTCCATGGAAACTGGGAAGAAGGCTTTTTCTTGTGGCTAAGAGCTACATCACTCAGTTTTACCTCTTCAGAATACCGTATTTCATGCCATTTGTAGATGTCCAAGGAAATCTCAACCCTGGAAAAGACGGAGAAGCTTTACTCCAAAAGGAAAAGGAGAAGGAATTTTCTAGTTATGTTAGGAATGCACTTAACACAAGGCCCTTGGCCATGCGCATAGTGTCAACATTGGGAGCCTAACCACAGATTTCCTGGAAATAAATGAGTTTGTGTGTTGGTAGGAGAAAAATGTCATAATTAGTCTCAGTTTGGGGTTTTCCAATTATGCCAAGCAGAGATTGCCACACATTTGTCTGATTCTCCAGGCGGCCCAGATTGACACACACAGACCATCCTCTATCATCTGCCGGGAGAATGTGTTTAGGTCTTAGGGCTCCCTGATACGTTTGAGGGAGGAAAGCCGAGTGGGAGTTAAATGCTGATTTCTGGGGGCGCCTGGCTGGCTCAGTCGGTAGGGAGGGCGTGCAACTCTTGCTCTCAGGCTTGTGGGTTCGAGTCCCCTGTTGGGTGTGGACTCGTTACGTTAAAATCTTAAAAAAATAAAGGAACGCTGTTTTCTGAAGTGGAGATATGTTGTCCAAGATTTTAAGGAGGTAAGATGAGAAACTAGTTTGGAGTTGATAGCTCCTATAAAGAAGGAGAGAAATTAAGTTTCTTCAGTTGAATCCCGGAATATTAAAGTTGAAAAAGGTGTTCTGGGACGCCTGGGTGGCTCAGTCGGTTAAGTGTCTGCCTTCGGCTCAGGTCATGGTCCCAGGGTCCTGGGATCGAGTCCCGCAGCAGGCTCTCTGCTCAGCGGGAGTCTGCTTCTCCCTCTCCCTCTGCACCCCCCTCCCAGCTTGTTCTCTCTCTCTCTCTCTCTCTCACATAAAGAAAAAAAAAAATTCTTACCAAAAAAAAAAAAAAAGAGAGAAAGGTGTTCCCTATCATTGGGCAGCCCTCACATTTCCAAGCAGGAATCTAAAGTACAGGGGATTGAGGTGAGGTGACTTGCCCGAATTCATCCAACTAATTAGGGGCCAGATTGGAGCACTGGTTCACCTGTGTTACTTAAAAGTTGTCAGCCGATGGTGGTGCTCAGTTTCTCATTCAAGGGCAAGAAGGTACCTGACACTAACCTTTCTGGAGCCAGTGTAGCCGAGGACAGGGATTTGCAAACTCTCTCTAAATATTTAGGCCAGATGGTAACTGTTTTAGACCTTGCAGGCCACATAGGTCCCTGTCACATATTCTTCACTGTGGATTTTTTTTTTTTGGATTTTTTCAACCCTTTAAACCATGACCACCATGTTTGTAGCTGCAGAGCCATCCAGAAACAGCTGCAGGTTTTAAGAGACATTTAGGAAGTAAAATGAATGGACTTGGTATGTGAAAAGGGAGTAAAGGGGAGTAAAGGCTCTGCCCAGGGGACTTTTTGCCCACCCAGTCTGGGGTGTCAGCACCTTTGAGCCTTGCCTCTTTTCTCATAGGAATCCATCACTTGAAGACCAGGCCTGTGACCGAATTTACCGAGTCGGGCAGCAGAAAGATGTTGTCGTGCACAAGTAAGTAAAGGCATCCCGGGACTTAGGTCCCTTCACAAGCTTTCCTTTTGTGCAAGTCTTTCTTGGGAGGTGATTTAACAGACCGTAAAGTATTTGGTGATCACTTGACTAGTGGATGCTCCCGAGGCCCACCTCCTTGGTGCTCACAGTCCAGAAGGGAACATGAGCAATTTGGGGATGACCTTGGGGTTGGTGCCTGCAAGAGAAGAAAAGGCTTGTGTGTTAGGGCTAGGGAAGGTACCATCCTCTCCACCCTTTATTTATTAATTTTTTGCTTTTAACTTTTAGGTTGACGTAATTTCAGACATGTAGAGAAGAATGTAAGAGTTCTCAAAAGAATAATGTCCCCCCAAAAATCTTATTTGTAAAAATAATACTAAAAACTGCTCGTATGCTATACCATGTGTATGTGTGCGTGTAGACTTTTTTCTGGACCATTTGAGAGTCAGGTGCAGCCGTGGTGCTCCTTTACCCTTAAATACTTCAAGGTGCATTTCCGTAAAATAGGGACATTCTCTTATACAACCACAGTAAAGTGCTCAAAATCAGAACGTTAACACTGGTACAATGCTGTTATCTGAGCTGTGGACTTTATTCCATTTTGCCACTTGTCCCATTGAGGTCCCTCACAGCAAAGGAAAATCCTAGAGCCTGCGTAGCCTTGAGTTCTCATGACTCTTCTGTCTCCTTTAATTTGGGACACTACCTCAGTCTTTTCTTTGTGTTTTATGACATTGACATTTTTGAAGAGCACTAGCCAGCGATTTTGTAGAATGTCCCTTTCTAATGCTACAATCCACTGTAGCAACGGACCTCTTTCTCTCCTTCCTTTTCAGGGCCAGGTTTCCTGAAGAGTTAGAAATCAATGACCGTCTTGACTTGATTACCTCTCGTATTCATTCCTCAGCCTTTCACCCCTGTGGCTCCACTGAAACCACTCTTGTTTCGGGCCATCCGTGAATTCCAGTTGGCCAGTTGCAGAGATCATGCTGGTTTCCCTGTCATGAGCTCCCACCTCACTCTGTATGCACCTCCCTTAGTAGTTCTGTCTACCCCAGGAAGTCCAAAGTCTGAACCTTCCTCCCCAAGGTCTCCAGCATCAGATCTAGACACCCAAATCCCTGCTGACTCTCTGAATCCGAGTGTGCACATAACCATTATTCATTCACTCGTGCATTCGTCTCCTTCAGCTCCTAAATCTAACACCTGTTGAGCATTCACTATGGAGCAAGTACTGTGACATGTTCCAGGAACTCAGAATGTCACAGACTGAAGTGAGATACCGCCTCCTATCTCACGAGGCTTGGGAATTTTGCAACTATGTAAATAGTATCCCTGTATCCAGTCCTAGAGCCACAGACTAGGTTCCTTCCCTTTACTCCCTTTTCACATACCAAGTCCATTCATTTTATTTTCTAAATGTCTCTTACAATCTCCTCCTTCCCGTCTACACTGCCACCTTCCTCTTCCAAATCTAAATTTCTTACCATGATATGCAAAGCCACTCACAGTCTGGCCCCCACCATCCTCTGGAGCTTCTGCCATTGCTCTGCAACATGGTGGAGTCCTTTTGACTTATGTTCTGGCCAGACTGGACCACCTGATCTTCCTCCGACATAACCGTGTTCTAAACCCGGCCCTGATTTTTCCACATTCCTGTTCCCTGGGACGCCCTCCCTCTGTTCTGTCTGGCAAACCCTTGCTCATCCCACAAGCCACACATTACGAGTTCAGCCTTCACTAGAGCCTTCCCCGAACACTGCAGATGTTTCCTTTTACTCTTTGTGCACACTGGACATATGTCTATAGCACTTTCCAGCTTGTATCGTTGCTTATTTTCATGCCTCTCTTCCTGTGTTCCTTTTGAGAGCACAAGACTGGACTGTATGCATCTCTCCATCCTTAGACCCAGCACAGCACATGGCATATTGTAAATGCTTAGTCAGTGCTTGCTGAATGAGGCAATGACAACAGTGTCATTTCTTCAGGTGGTGAAACCTGTTTTCACTGTGAATTAGCCAAGAAATAAGACATTGTACTTAGACCAGCACACATACACCTGGCAGGAACTTGATAAGCTTTAAGACCTTCTGACTTGATCAGGGTTGAGCTTTTTGGGTGAAAGCTAGATCTCTGCACTTTCTTGGATAGGGATATCGTTTGCCTATTTTGGCATGTTTCCAGTTACCTTAGCTTCAGAAAAAAAAAGAAAAGTAATTGGAGTTGCATCATTTTAAACAGGCACATATTTAGTCAAGGTTGTTTGGATCTCGTAAACATGGAGTTTTTAACCAAACCTAAGACAACTTAAGTAAAGGAAGAAATCTCATGTAAAAACTAAAGCATAAATAGAAGTTTGAATATGTTATTAAATACGCTGTTTTGGGTTTCTGATTATTTGCTTAATCTGTTTTTTTTTTTTTTTTTTAGATTTATTTGTGAGGGAACAGTGGAAGAGAAGATCTTACACCTCCAAGAGAAGAAGAAAACTTTGGCTAAACAGGTCCTATCAGGATCTGGCAAAACCGTCAAGAAGCTGACTTTGGCTGACCTCAAAGTCCTTTTTGGCATCTAACTTCCTGTTTCTAGGGCTCCGGGTGGTGCAGCGGCGGGTTTGCGATAGGGTCTGGAACAGTGACCTGCACATGGACCTCTGAGCCCTCCTCGGCTTCTCATTTCACTGGCAAGCCCTAGGCCCTCCGCAGAAGGTGGCGCCATCTTACCCCCGGGATTGGGCGCCAGTGATCACGTTAACCACTTGGTTCTTCGGTCAGGTGAATCAGTCGCCTTATTAAAGGGTGACTTAGAAACCAAGGAATGACTTCAGAAAAAAAGAACATGCCTTAGAGTTAGATAACTTTGGAAAATGACACCGGGGGAGCTTCAGTGAAAGCTCAAAAAGCCCTCCATTGCCTTGTTCTTCTCAGCTCAGTGGGGGACCCGTGTTCCTGCCCTTTCCAACGCCGGCTCGCCCTCTCTCCTGCCAGTGAGGCTGCTCCCTTTAACGTGTCTCTGGGCAGGGCAGAGAGAGGACCCCGAGGCCAAGCCTCTGCAGCTGTCTCCGGCCACACCGTTCTGCCGCACTGGCATCAGAGCAAGGAGCTGCTTGGTCCCAGAACAGACGTCTGGTACGGGTGCCCTCGTGCCACCCGGTATGGGGTATCGTTTCACTTCCTGGGGTTCCATCGCTTCCTGTTGCTAGAGCGTCATGTGCTGCCTCTGAAATAAAGTTTACTACTGGGCATTTTTTCAGTAGAGGCAGACCTCTCTTCCTTGCACCTTGTAGATACTGCATTTCTTGCAACAGCATTTGCTCACTAAGTGGCCATGTACCATTTTGGTAATTTTCACAGTGTTTGCGGCTTTTTCATCATTGTTCTATTTGAATTGCTGTGATCTTATGGTAACACTTGAATAGCTGAGGAACTGAGGGATGAGCCGAGACCGTGGATTCTTGCGATGGACCCTACCCCTGGTGAAGACACTGTGAAGATTGTGGAAATGATGACAGAGGATTTAGAATATCACATAAACTTCGTTGATACAGCAGCGGGGGGGTTTGAGAGGATTGACTGTAATTTTGAAAGAAGCTCCGTGGTGTGTATTCCGTGCTACAGAGAAATCATTCATGAAAGGAAGAGTCCATCGATGTGGCAAACTTCACTGACATCTTAGTTTAAGAAATTACCACAGCCAACCCCCTGACCAGTCAGCAACCATCGACATTGAGGCAAGACCCTCCACTGACTTGCTGGAAGCTCAGACGATGGTTAGCAATTTTAGCAATGAAAGATTCTTTTTTCAAAAAAGGTGTTTATTTGTTTAGAGAGAGAACACACGTGAACGGGGTGAGGGGCAGAGGGAGAGGGAGAGACTTTTAAGCAGACTCCGCGCTGAGCGTGGAGCCCAATGCGGGGCTTGATCCCACAACCCTGAGATCACGACCCAAGCCAAAACCAAGAATCGGACGCCCAACCGACTGAGCCACCCAGGTGCCCCAGCAATAAAAGATTTTTTAATTAAGATATAATATTGTTTTTTAGACATACTGCTGTTACACACTTAATAGACAACAGTATAATGTAAATACGATTTTTATATGCACTGGGAGATTGTGAGATTCATTTGACTCACTGTGATATTCGCTGTATTGTGTGGAACTGAACCTGCAATATCCAAGGTATGCCTGTATTTGCATTTTTACAAATTTACAGATTGGTAGCATGTTTCATTCTCTCATTTAGTATTGTATCATTTAGTACCTGTATTATGGTTGGTATAATCCAATAAATGTGTGCTTGACAATGTAGCAGAGATAATGTGTGTTTGCGAACCTCCATTTCCTTTTCTTCCTGGGCACCCGGAAAGACTACATTTCCCAGTGTTCACTGCAGTTACATGGGTCCATATCACTGAGTTCTAGTCAATGGAACGAGGAGAGAGGTGATGTAAGTAATTTCTTACCTCCTCTCCAACTTTATGAGTGATTCATCACACTGTTTCTTCCTTCATCGGCCCACTAGATGCCAAGGAGCTGATGGAAGCCTACGAGGCCCTAGACAAGCCACTAGATCAGGGATTCTTAACCTACTTTTGGGCCACGGACTCTTTAGGCAAACTAGTAAGCCTCAGTTCCCGAATGACTGGAACAAAGCCTTCTGCATGTGTGCCGCCCTTCTCACCCCTGCTCACCCACATGGCTGTATCACATAAATAATATTTCTTTAAGCCGCTGAGATTTTGGGGTTGTTCAGATAGCAGTTGGTACTCTAATACAAACTCTTGAGACTCGTTACTTTGGGAAACTGTTCCTATTTCCTTCTTCCCATTAGCAATCCTTTCCAAAACACATCTGCTAATTTCTGTGAGAAAGGATGGTAGTTGTCCTAGATGGAAATATTAGGGGTGTCCTTGAGTCAGGGGTGGGAGGTGAAGCCCTTTGCTAGCCCACTGACATGTAATCTCTTAAGATTCCTTCTGGCACCTTAAACAGTATATCTAGTGCTCCTTGTTTTGATTCTCACCTAGCAGAGCCACCTAATTGTCTTGGGTAAGTGTTCCTACACCAGTGAGATGAGAGTGAGGTGTGGTGGATGCAGAAAAAGTTGGAACCATTGTTTCAGTGGGACGGGACGTACCAAACCATGGCATTCTTAAATCCTAGTCCTGGGGCGGAAATTTCTCGTGAATTACTGTAAGTGGCGCTCTGGTGTCTCTCAGGCTCGCATTCGTCTTAGTTACTGGGAGTCCATTTCTGAAGGCCGGGGCAGGACGTGGTGAGTCCTTGGCCCCATGAGCAACGGGCAGCATCCCACATGAGTGATCGGACTCTGCCAGTGCCAACCAGCCTTCCCGATGTGCCGGATTGTCGTACGGCTGCCTGCCTCCCTGACCAGACTCGGGCGAGGACGAAAGGATCTCATGGAGGCTTTATAAGCCGTGAAGGCTCCGTACGAGTGCTAGTGTTACCGCTGTGGGACCGGGTCTGGGCAGATGGGAGTAAGACGGGAGCGTGGGTGCCGCTGAAAGCCAGACAGCGAGCATCTGTCACCGAAGTGCCACACCGTGGAGCACCCAGCATACCAGGGATTTCTCATGTGATGGATTTGCGTTCATGGCAGCTTTACCGTTTGACTTCTCTTTCGCAGTGTTGATCAGAAAAGGGCATTTGGTGCATGCCATGGCGGGACGGAATCCTGAACCCGTTAAAAATCCCGCCAAGGACTCCTGTTGCCATGCAATCGTTATGAACAGTAGCAGGTAGGATGGCATCTCTGTGGAATATGACCCTTTCTCTAGCAGCTGTGTGTGTGACGTGGAACGGCTGTGTATGACCACAGGCTTGTTTACTCGCTGGTTGTCTCCGTTGCCCACGGAAGTGGCTTTCGGCAGGGCTCAAGGGTGGAGCTGGACTCTTCCGTACGAGTAGGATAGTCGTGGAGCCACCAGTGCTCGGTGTGAGCTCTGCGGTCGTCTGGAATCGTGATGCTGACCATGATGCCTTGAGAGAACTGGGTCTACAAAGTGGGATATTAGACTGCTATTTGCTGTCTAGCGTCTTGTCCTAAGAAAGGACAGAAAGGATCTAAAAAGCATAGCTGCCAGCACAAAGAACTATAATAGGAACTTAGAATTCCTAAGCATGTAACCTAGATGAAAATGTTTTCAGAAATAAAAATGAAATTAGGGTCAGTTAGAGCACCAAGTACCCTAAGAGTCAGTAGGTGGGGATGGAGATGGAAGTGAGGAAGAGCCTCACCCCTACGGAGGGAACCGGGCAGACAGACCCACGGCTACACGACCTCTCTCCTGGCTTGAGTCCTTTTACCCAGAATCCTTAGCTAATCTGAGGGTAGGTAGAGCTGATGTATGCAAGGTAGGATGGGGAGAAGACTTCCACTGCCAAATCATTTGTACCTCAGTTCAAAAATCTATATTAAATGTGCCGGGCACTGCTGGGCACCGCAAGCAAAAGGGTAAAAGCAAAACCCGAAACCATCCCTGTCCTCCCTGAGGCTTACAGGGGAGACGGGCATTAATCCCATCCTGGACGGCTGTGGAGGGACAGTGGTGTCAGGTGCTGTGGTCGCTGGGAGGGCTTAGAGCCAGGAGCTAGAACAAGAACTAGTTAGGGAAGACTGGGAAAGCGGTGAGGGAATTGAAGCCCGTATGTAGATGCTCACAAGGCAGAGTGAAGTGTCTCTTTCTGTATCCTGCTTCCATTAGCGGTCACTTCACCCAGCGCCCTCTTGGGACGAACTTAGCAGGCCTGCATCCCCAGGAGTGAAGCTGAGTGAGGATTGCATCTCAGAGATTAGAGTGGGCGGGCTGACCGGGGTGTGTGTGTGTGTGTGTGTGTGTGTGTGTGTGTGTGTGTGTCACCCAAGACAGCCAAGGTGTTTATGCTGTGACGACCTCCCAGAGGACGGAGGCGGTAATCTGTGGCTCTTTTGTCTTACCTGTAACACGGGAGATAAAACTTACATCATAATGTTGCACCTTGTTGATGCTTCAGTGCTCACAACTCCAGGGTGATTTCTGAAGCATTTTACGACACCGGGGACAATTCCTAAACCCTCCGATCTCTTTTTTTTCCCCTCACCTCGGGAGTCTGGGGCTCTGCAGATCACTCTTAACTTTGCAGGGCTTGTCAGCTGGCAGGACAGTCGAATTGAATTTAGACGCCATCGTATGGCAGGCCAATGAACAGCCTACCCCCTCCTCCCCCACCAACTATCTCAATGTTTGTCACGGAATTGCTACTGTGAATACTGCTTCAAGGCTAGGACATGCGCCAGAACCTGGATGTCTGACAGAATTTTCTGTTGCAATCAAGCTTCATCTACAGTAGAGTTCTGCAATTACCAAAACCCTTTTCCAACTGAAATAAATGAAAAGCTTTTAATCCTCAGTTCTGAAGTCTGATTCGTTAAAAGACACAAGGGAATAAATGATGCAGTACAATAAGCTTCTTCACGGCAAAGCAATTCCCTGGATGTCTGAGGTAATTGGAAAATTCAAGGCTGGTCCCTAAAGTGTGTACAATTTATCCAGCAGGTTTGACAGAAGGCTGAGATTTTTTTTTTTTTTTTCCCAAGTAGTATTTGGTTAAATGACAACTATTGGCATTTAGGGGGAAGGAAAGTCTGGCTTAGAGAAACAGACACCAAGGAGATCCAAACTAAAAGTTGTACTAAATTATATCTTTTTTTTATTCAACAAAACATTGATTAAGCCTCTACTATGTGCCAGGAACATGGGGACAATGTGGTCAATAAGTGTCAAGTCCCTACCTTCATGGAGCTGACAGTCAATATGAGAGAACAAACATTAAACAAATAGAATATGTATGTGAGACGGTGACGAAGCCGAGTGAGGGTGATGCGGAGCCCTAGGGTGGGGAGTTGCTATTTTACACAGGGTAGTTAGGGACCTCTCCCATAAGATGATGATTGACGTAGGAGCCGAAACCTGAGGAGAAAGAGAATCAATCGTTAAATATCTGTGAGAAGAACATTCCAGATGGCAGGCAGTGATCATAACTGCTACGGAGTATGTGCAGAGTTTGCGGAGCCCCAGGCAGGCAGGCTGGGCTGGAATGAGTGACTGGGGTGAGGGGCAGGAAATGAGAGAACAGGGAGCTGGGGTACAGGCTCTTACATGCCGACGTAAACACTGGCTTTGTTCTGAGTATGATGGGAAGATGTTGGGTGTTGAGCGGCAGAATGACATGATCTGAGGTGGACCTCTCTGAC